GGGAAGGAGGCTAAGAAGAAAAGGGTGATGGGGTGGGGGGGTGGGGGGGGGAGCCAGGCCTGGCCCTGCTACCTTACCCTGCCACCATCTCACACTTGCTGACTGCCTTGATCCGGAAGAGAACTGAGGTTCTGTGGGGGCTGGGCGACTGATCCATTTTTAGAGGCAGCTGCAGGAAGAGTGTTTCCGCTTGTCCCCTGGAAGGCCAGAGCAGGCTGCCCTTGGGAATAGGTCAGCTGATAGTGTGTCCCAGAGTCTCCTGACCACACCCTCACTCACCCTGCTCCTGGGTGGCCAGCACTCATGCTAGACACAAACCTGGTCCTGTTGAGGTCATTGGGTTTGAGAGTCACTATCCCTGCCAGGTGGTCTGACCTACCCAGTCCCAGTGTGACCTCTGAGCTTGAGTCAGCTCCCATGTCCTCTGTATATGTCTGTGAAATGGGCATTGCGTTGTGTATCTGTGCACATGTGTGCTGATGTGCACCTTCACATGTGCAGAGACTAGAGGAGGAGTATGTCAGGTCCTCTTCATCTCTCCACCTATTTGTTTATTTGTTTCGTTTTGTTTCAGACAGTATAGCTTTGGCCTGTCTTGAACTCCCAGAGATCCTCCTGCCTCTGCCTCCTCATGCTAGGATCAGAGTTGTGCACCACCATGCTGGGCTTGTTTTGCTTTTGCTAGTCTGGAAGCCAGCAAACCCCAGTGGGCCTCCTCTCCCTCATGCCCTTTGGAGCTGGGGTTTGCAGGCATTTGTGGGGATGCCTGGTTGGTGTGTGGATGCTGGGATCCAAATTTCCATCCTCATGTTTGCACAGCAAGGGCTTCTAACTTCTGGCCACATGTATTGTTTTTCTTGTGACAGAATCTCATGTAGCCCAGGCTGGTCTCCTATTCCTGATTCCTCTGCCTCCTGGAGCCAGGATAACGGTCCCCAGGCTTCCTGCATGCCTGCTCAAGGTTCGGCCAGCTGAACTGCTGGGCTAGCTGTACCTGTGGAGACTCTTCATAGCCCAGGTCTCTGGTCCCATGTTCTCTGTGACTGCTCTTCTTTGAGGCAGCTTGCCCTGTGATTCTATGGTTTTGTTTCTAAGTCTCAGATGCTCCACAAGGTGCTCCTCCTGGCTCCTCCTGCAGGGGACCTCGCTGCCCCACAGTGTCAGCTGGAGTGTGTTCTTGCAGCCTTTGAGAATGAGAAACCTCCTCAGCCTTTTACTTGGCAAATGTAGGCATCTAGACCCCAGCCCAGCAGCTGATGCCTGCAGTCCAAGCACAGCGCCTGCTTGTGTTTTGTCAGGCAGTGTCTCCTGTGTTATCCTTCTTCCTCAGCCCCTTACGTACCAGAGTTACAGGTGCCTGCTGTGGTACTCAGCTCTTGCCAGTGTTCAGGGGACTAAGGTGATGGGATCCCAGATGGCAGTCCATCCTGGACCATGCAGTGAGCTGCAGAGTAGCCTGGGACCAAATCCCTTTATCAAGAAGAAAAAAGTGGGCTGGAAAGATAGCTCAGAGGTTAAGAGCACTGGCTGTTCTTCCAGAGGTCCTAAGTTCAATTCCCAGGAACTACATGGTGGCTCACAACCATCCATTATGAGATCTGATGCCCTCTTCTGGTGTGCAGACATACATGGAAGCAGAATGTTATATGCATAATAAATAAATAAAATCTTTTTTAAAAAGTTAAAAAAAAAAGAAGAAAAAAGTCTGTCATTAAAAGGTTTGGCACAAAGTGTGAGGACCTAAGTTTGTCCTCAGTACCCTTGTGAAAGGTCAGATGTTGGGGTACACACTTGTAACCCTGGTCCAGAAGTGGTGGAGATGGAAGGATTGCTTTGGTTTCATGGCCTGCCAGTCTAGGCCAGTTGATGAATTTTAGGCCCCATTTCAGAGGCACTGTCTCAAAAAGTAAGGTGGAGAGCAGTAGAGGAAGGACATCTGGCCACCACAAGCATACACACAAGCAATTTAAAAAGAAGAATAAGCCAGGCCTGGTGGTATACATTAATGCCGAACACAATGGAGTCAGAACTGGCTTGACAACATGTAGTTTAGAGAGGAACCACAGGTTCAGACATTTGGTGTATGTGCTTGGCTGAGGAGCCAATGGGGCAAAGCTACCATCTGTGGGATTGTGACTGAATGCCTCTAAATCAGAATCCCGCCCAGGTGAATGATATGTTGTTGCTATAGTAATCCCACTTCTGACACCAGTTAATGCCAAATACAATGGAGTCAGAATCAGATTGATAACAGGTAGTTTATTAAAGGGATAGTACTCCTACAAGGACCAGTGACCAGGTTTACACTGGAGCCGGAATGACCCGCAGATGTCTGGTCTGCCAGGCAGGAGATAGAAAAGAGAGCTGAGTACATGTGTGCGTGCGTGCCTCTCTGCTACTTAAACCCTTGCTTTGTCACTCTGACCACGACCAAGTAGGCGTGGTCAGTGGCACCTGTTGCCAGGCCCAAGTGTGTGTGGCCAGCATTACCTGTGGTCAGCTCCAAATGGGCATGGTCAGCAGTACCTCTAAATGGGATTACTCCCTACAGTACACCTTCAATCCTAGCAAAGACAGACAAATGTCTGAGTTCAAGGCCAGAAATACATAATGAGACTGCCTCAAATTATAAACAAACCTGATAAAATGAAAGAACAAATGCCATGTTCCTCAAGTTTCTGTAGGAACGGAAGTGGTTTCCTTTCTTCCCCTACCTGGCAGACTGCATGTTCTTGTGACCCATCCCCCAGTACACCACCCCTCTTTCACCTTGACTGTCTGTCTTCCCATGTCAGAATATGCGGAGTTTTTGCACTGCAAGTCCAAAAAGTTTACAGACTTTGATGAAGTCCGGCAAGAGATCGAAGCAGAGACCGACCGGGTAACGGGGACCAACAAAGGCATCTCCCCGGTGCCCATCAACCTACGGGTCTATTCACCACATGGTAGGTAACTTGGGCAGGCACGGGGGAAGCTGGTGTAGTCTTCCTAATCCAGTAGGATCTTCCCACTTCCCAAGCATCTGAGAAAATCATCATGGACTAGGAAGACACGGGAGGGGTGGTCAAGAGTGGGCATGAGCACATACCTCTAACCTCAGTTTTGGAGAGACAAAGGCTGGAGGATATAGTAAGGCCCATCTCAAACAAAAGTAAAAATTTAGGGCTGAGGCTGGGGATTAGTGGTCAGGCACTTGTGTGGCAGGCATGAATTCAATCCCCAGGACCACATTTAAAATAGAAAATGGGCCAGGCATGGTGGTGTATACACCTGAAATTCCAGCACTCAGTAGGCTAAGACAAAGACTTTGTGTTTGGTTCTAGCATCAGCTAAACTTTTCCAAGAAGTTCTGTTTTTGTAAAAAGTAAAAAATTTAAAATTTTTACTGTGTGTGTATTTATTTTTCCTGAATGTATGTGTACTTATCATCATATGTATATGCCTAGTGCCTGAGTAAGTCAGAAGAGGGTTTCAGATCCCATTGTACTGGAATTACAATTGGTTATGTGAGCCACTGTATGGGTGCAGGGAGTTGTGCCCAGGTCCTTTGCAAGAGCCAGGGTTGGTAATTACTCTGCTGCCTTTTTTTTTTCTAATGAATTAAAAATTTAATTCTGAACCATTTATTTATTATTTTGGTTTTTGAGACAGAGTTTCTCTAAGGCTTTGGAGGCTGTCCTAGAACTAGCTCTTGTAGACCAGGCTGGTCTTGAACTCACAGAGATCTGCCTACCTCTGCCTCCTGAGTGCTGGGATTAAAGGCACATGCCACCACCGCCCGGCTCTAAACCATTTTTATAATCATATCTGTTGAAGTATTGTATCACAGCAGGTTGTAACAACTTTGGTATAAAAGGCAACTGGTAAACTGTCCAAAACAAGACTCAAATAACACCTCTTACTGATTTGCCCTACCGCACATATCCCCAATAAAGTTTTTGTTCAAAAACATGAAATAGGGTTGGAGAGATGGCTCAGAGGTTAAGAGCACTGGCTGCTCTTCCAGAGGTCCTGAGTTCAATTCCCAGGAACCACATGGTGGCTCACAACCAACCCTTATGAGATCTGGTGCCCTTTTCTGGTGGGCAGATATACATGGAAGCAGAATATTGTATACATAATAAACAAATTAAAAAAAAATAAAAAAGCCAAACAAGAAAAAAGAAACAGGCTAAAGCCTAAAAAAAAATAATTAAAAAAAACCAACCATGAAATAGATCCACCTGCTTATTTTAAGCATATTAAAAAGACCATTTCTATCTGTCATTTATACAAAAGGCTACGCAATGTTACACGTGTCCAGATTATGATTAGCGTGATTATGAATTACTGTTCTACCCATTACTCAGTTTAGTAGGTTTTGGTGTTTTTGTTTTTGTTTTTTTGTTTGTTTTTTGAGACCGGGTTTCTCTGTGTAGCCCTGGCTATCTGTCCTGGAACTCACTCTGTAGACCAGGCTGGCCTCGAACTCACAGAGATCAACCTATCTCCGCCTCCTGTGTGCTGGGACTAAAGGAGTGCACCATCGCCCAGCTGGTTTTCCTTTCTCTCTTTCTCTCTCTCTCTCTCTCTCTCTCTCTCTCTCTCTCTCTCTCTTGTGTGTGTGTGTGTGTGTGTGTGTGTGTGTGTGTGTGTGTTCGTTCTCACATCTGTGGTGAGAACAGATATGAGAACAGATGTGGAGGCTGCAGGACGTCTTTCAGGAGTCACTTTTTCTCCTGCTGTGTAGGTCCTAGGGAATCACTTTCAAGTCATCAGGTTTGTGATAGCAGTCTTTACCCACTGAGCTACTTCACCAGCCCTGTTTATTCTCTCTCTCTCCCTCCCTCTCTGTCTCTGTCTTCCCTCTCTCTCTTTCTCTCTTTTCCCCGCTCTCCTCCCCTCCCCTCCTCTCCCGTCCCCTTCCCTTCGATCCTCTCAAAAGCAATGTCATGTAGCCCAGACTGGCCTCAAGCTCCTTCTGTGGTTCAGATGAGCTTGAATTCCTCATCCTCCTGCTCTTGCCTCATCAGTGCACAGCTAGACATGGGTTAATGGTGTGCAGGGCTTTGTGAACGCCAAGTGTGCCCTTGACCAACTGAGCTCCAGCCCTGGCCCTATAGCCTGAGCTACATGGTGAGTTCAAAGCCAGTCTGGGCTACACACCCAGAGTGTACCTCAAAAACAAAGACAGTTTGAGAGGAAGGGACATGAGTGGAATGCCTGCTGCACAAGTATGAAAACTTGAATTCTCTCCATAGCAGCTGCGCACAGCACAGCACAGCGTTGTGTGTCTGTAGTTCTGGAACCAGGACACTGGGACAGATGAGGTGTAGCTGAGTTGGTAGCTCAAAGCTCAGTGAGGAGACCCTTTCTCAAAAGATACAGTGTAGAAGTCAGCAAGATAATTCACCAAATAAAGGTACCTACCGGCAAACTAATGACCAAGTTCAGTTCCCAGGATTAACATGATAGGAGAGAACTGACTACTACACATGCTCTGACCTCCACATACACCTTGGTATATTCCTCTCTCTCTCTCCCTTTCTCCCTCTCTCCCTCTCTCCCTCTGTCCCTCTCTCCCTCTCTCCCTCTCTCTCTCTCCCCCCTCTCCCTCTCTTTCTCTCTCTGTTAAAATAAAATATAAAAAGAATAAATATGGTAGAGGGCAATACCTGGGTGACCTCTGACCTCCACATGCATGTGCCTATGAGGGCATCTACCAAACACGCAAAGCACACACAGGAGTGTTTTCTAGTAGGAGTGTTAGGAGTGGTCCCAACATGTGACTGCCCCTGGGAACTTGCTGATGTCCACTAGCTCTCTGCAGGGCTGTGTGGTGTGTATGCTCTGAACCCTTTCCTGGGCTCTGACCAATATTGCCTCTCGATTTTGCCCTCAGTGTTGAACTTGACCCTCATCGACCTCCCAGGAATCACTAAGGTGCCAGTGGGGGACCAGCCGCCAGACATCGAGTACCAGATCAAGGATATGATCCTGCAGTTTATCAGCCGAGAGAGCAGCCTCATTCTTGCTGTCACACCTGCCAACATGGACTTGGCCAACTCAGACGCCCTCAAGCTGGCCAAGGAGGTGGACCCCCAAGGTGACCCTCTAGCCCCAGGGCAGCAACTCTAGTAGTACTAGGTCCCCTCCCTAGTATGCTTCCTGGCACAGGGCTGTGTTAGAAAGCGGCCTCCTGGAATTCACCATCCCCTGTGTAATGTGGGTGTTCCTTGCAACACTTGAAATAGCTAGACCTTCCCACTTCCTTATACTAATGGGATCTCCTCTGCCAGCCCTGTAACCAACACAGTGATGTCGTCGTCATCTCTTAAAGAGCAGACAGGTTTATTTAGGCTGTTTATTTAGGTTCCTGTTGTAGTTGGTGGCTTTGTTGCTTTTGGGCCTGTGAGAAGACAGCACTACACTATATACATGGGGAGCAAAGCCACTCACCCAGGGAACCAAATAAGAAAAGAGACATGGGACCCCAGTGACTGGAAAGTCTCAAGGAAGCCTCCCTTCATAAAGGCAGACAGCTTAGCACACAAGCTGTTGAGGGATATTTAAGATTCAGAGTTTAGTCTGCAGATACTATTCAGTGGTAGAATTGCCTAGGAAGGGGCTGGGGTATACCCAGTGTGAATGAGGATCTGGGTTTGATCCAAGGGCTCACCTGCTAAGAGCACCTTCTGGTGAGTATGGTGGCACACAGCATTAATCCCTGAAGTTGATAAATAGTTCAGGTGGATCCCTGTGAGTTCAAGGTCAGTCAGGGCTACATAGTGAGACTCTAAAGAAAGGACATGGGTTTGGTTTCCAGCACCCACACAGTGGCTTGGAACAGTGTAGTGACTTCGGTTCCAGGGGATCTGACGCCCGCTTCTGACCTCTGCAGGCAGCAGGCACACACGAGGTGCATAGAGAGACATGCACATCCAACACTCATACTCATAAAAATAACAAAGTTGACCTAATACAATTAAAAAGCCATGACAAAAATAAATCAGTAAGATCCAGTCTTTAGGCTGGGCGGTGGTGGTGCACGCCTTCATCCTAGCACTTGGGAGGCAGAGGCAGGCGGATCTCTGTGAGTTTGAGGCCAGAGCGAGTGCCAGGATAGGCTCCAAAGCCACAGAGAAACCCTGTCTCAAAAAAACCAAAACCAAACAAACAAAAAAGATTCAGTCTGTAGTTCCCAAGACAATCATAATTCCAGATGCAACTTTGTGCAGTGTTCATTCCTCTCTGCTGAGATGGGACCATCTGGGCCCGGGTTATAGTTCATTCCTCTCTGCTGAGATGGGACCATCTGGGCCCGGGTTATAGCTCATCTGTTGCTGTGCTTGCCAAGCACACAGGATCCCAGCACTACATGAACCTGGTGCGGTGCTGCACACCTGTCTTCCTAGTACTGCAGAGGTGAAGGCAGGAGGATCAAGAGTTCACACTTATCTTCTGCTACATACAAGTTTGCGGCTCGCCTGGGAAAGTAGAGAAGGGCACTAACAACCTGGGAGAGATTTGAGGGTACAGTTTTGAGAGGGAGGAGGCTCGTGAGGCTGCAGAATGAGCTGGAAGTGCGGGTTCTTCCCCTGGAGCCTCCCAGCTGTGTCAGTCATGTTGCCCACTGTCCACACACAGAGTGGGCATGGCCGCAAGAAGGCATTAGTGAGGCAGTGTGAAGTGGACAGCACTATGCTGAGAGGCCATCTGTGAGCACACTGGCCTCGGGCTAGGGTGTCTCCCTAGAGCCTCCTTTAGCCCCCCCCTTTTTTAAGTACTCATGGGCTGGGTAGTAGTGGTAATCCCAGTACTCCGGAGGTGGTGGTGCAGGCCTTTAATCCCAGAACTTGGGAGACTAGCCTGGTCTACAAAGCAAGTGCCATGACAGCCAGAGCTGTTACACAAAAGAAACCCTGTCTTGAAAAACCAACCAACCAACCAAATAAATAAATAAATAAATAAATAAATAAATAAATAAATAAATAAAAGAAATAACAGTTTAAGAAAGTATGTCCAGGGCTATCTACATGGAAGAGGGGAGCTTTGTGGGCTCTTGGTTTTCCCATGATGACTTTCTTTTTTGTAATAACTATAAGTACTTTTTTTGTTTGTTTGTTTTGGTTTTTCAAGACAGGGTTTCTCTGTACAGCTTTGGAGGTTGTCCTGGAACTCACTCTGTAGACCAGGCTGGCCTTGATCTCAGAGATCCCCTGTCTCTGCCTCCTGAGTGCTGGGATTAAAGGCGTGCGCCACCAACACCTGGCTCCAAACTGTTATTTCTTAAAGTGAGACAGTCCTTATTTTTTGTTTCTGTAATGTTCCCCTATTTTGTGGTTGTTGCTTTGGTTTTTGTGCTTTTTACTATTTTTCAGTCGTGGCTTCAGAATTTTGCCCTGGCTAACCTGAACGACCAAAGTAGTCCCAGTATCAGATATTTACCTGCTTCTGCTCCCAAGTGTTGGGATAACAGGTTCAAGCCTCCATGCCCAGATCTATTTTATACTATAGCAATAGTGTGTTATTTATTCTGTGTGGAGAATTGTTGAGCCAGCCGTTCCTTCTCCTCACTGCATCTGTTCCCATCAGTGGATGTTTCCATTGCAGTTAATGCACAGTCCCCTCCTACTCATTTATTTTCCCTGTCAGCCCTATGAATTTTTAGGTGTAGCCCCCTTCCCAGTAGTGCCATCTAATGTAGAGTCACCTTTGATGTCCAAGTTGACACCAGTCTTCTGTGGGCTCTGTTAGCACCTCATATGTCCTGCTCACGTGGTACATACAGGCAGCACTGCACCTGTGTGTCCAGGCTGTACCTGTGTTCCTGAAGGGTCAGGTTGTTCTTGTTTAGACAGGACATTGTACAGTCCAGACTGCCTTCAAACTCTGTGTGTAGCTAAAGATGACCTTAAACTGCTGATCCTCCTGCCTCCACCTCCTGAGTGCTGAGATTACAGGTGTGTGCCAACATGCCCAGTGTAATTGGGTGCTTAGGAAAGAGCCCCAGGCTCCTTGCTAAGTGCTCTACAGCTCAGCTGGCACCTGGATGGAACTTAGGGTTTGTGAATGCTAAAGCAAGTATGGTCGTGGAGTTGCACCATCCTCTACCTTGCCTTGGAAGCCCAGCTTAGAATGTGCTCAGGTGAATTGTAGTCAGGACCCCAAACTAAAAAACTTTGGCTGCAGGGATTAAGGGGTAGAGGTGGGGCTGAGAAGAACAGTGGATTTGGGGGCTTTGCCATAGGTGTGCTGACTTAGGCAAATGTAGGGAGAACTTTGGGGTGGTCCTTGGAGTGGAACTTGAGCCAGGTAACAGGGAACCCTGGAAACAGTTGCTTGGGTTCAAGTGTGATGTTGGGAATGGGCCAGGAGATTCTAGTTTTTGTGATGTTCCCTGGTTCTGCTGTGGCCCACTTATACTCTCGGACAGTGTTTATTGAGAAAATACTTGCCCCTTGACAGAGTATCTGGGGCTGTAATTGTCATTTTACACTGCCAGCAGGTGTCCAGGCAAAATGATACCATAGCTTATCCCTTGTCTCATGGCCTGCCAGAAGGCCACGGGGACCCTTCCTCATGACCCCTTCTGACTTCTGGGCTCTTTCAGGGCTGCGGACCATTGGTGTCATCACCAAGCTGGACCTGATGGATGAAGGCACAGATGCCAGAGATGTCCTGGAAAACAAGCTACTGCCCTTGAGAAGAGGTATGCAGGGCTGGGGTGGGTCCATAGGAGCATGTATTTTGAGATTCTCATCTGGACACAGTGGTTCTGCATTACAGCTGTTTTCTAGAACATCAGGAAGGCAGTACACAGCCAGGCTTGGTGCATGCTCTAGTCCCACCACTCTGGAGGTGGAATCGGGGATCAGAAATTCCAGGTCATCTTTGGCTTCGTAGCAAGTTCTATGCCAGCCTGGCCTTTTTTTCAGCTAGGTGGTGGTAGTGCACGTCTTTAATCCCAACAATCGGGAGGAAGAGGCAGGTAGATCTCTGTGAGTTTGAGGCCAGTCTGGTCTACATCTACAAGAGCTAGTTAGGACAGCTAGGACTACACAGACAAACCTTGATAGGGGAGTGGGTGGGGACCTTTTTCATAAATAAATCTAGGTTCTAAGAATGAAACCCAGTGGTAGAACCCTTGCCCAGCATATGCTAGGAACAAGGTTCATTCCTCAACTGTGCAAATAAAACAGAAAAAAAGAGATACATATTGCTTGATTCCTCTTATTGAAGGACCCTAGAGCTGTCACTTTCCAACCTGTAGAATGGTGGTCTTTAGGCATTGGAGGACAGCCAGGCATGAGCACCTGTCAGTTCTACATTCTATAGCCTGAGATGGAAGGGTCATGAGTTTGAGACTGCTTGGGGTATAGCACTGATGACCTGAGCTTAGAATTCACATTAAGGTAGAAGGGGAAACTGACTCCATTTTTTTGAGAACATTTTTTAAACCTTTTTTGGCTGCAAGGAGTGGGGGCTGAGAAATGCCTCCCTAGCTAGTAGAGGCTGAGGGATGAAATGCTAAGGCTAAAGAGGAAGTAAGGCCTTCTGAATCCCCTCCAGACATTCTGAGCCTCCTCCTTAGACCAACGGGTAGGTAGTTCAGCACCATGTGCACTGGCTGTACTAAGAATCCATCCATTTGACTTCAGGGCCTCATCGCTTCTTCCTCCATCATGGCAGTCACTGTACTAAGAATCCATCCATTTGACTTCAGGGCCTCATCGCTTCTTCCTTTTTCATGGCAGTCCCCTGCCTCTGTCTCTCTTTGTCTTCCCAAAGAAATGACATCTGTCCCTTCCTCTCCACTCATGAGTGGTGTCCTCTCATTTTACTCTAACCTTGGGCTCTTCCTCACTTCTCTCCCCTGAGACTTCAGAGTTCCTCCCATTGGAGTGTAGCCCACTGATGTAAGGAAGATGTGTCTTGCATGCACAGGACCCTGGCTGGTCCCCAGCACCACAGAAAGGGTTCTTCCCTGCATCTTCCCTTCTCAATTTTCAGGCTCAGCCCCTGCTTTGTTAACACTGCCCAGAGCACCCCATCTTTTTTGCTGTTGTTTATGTGGTGTTCTGTTTCCTTGTTGATGTTTGAGACAGGCTGGACTTGAACCTTTTGCCTCAGCCCCAGCTGGGATTCTAATGTGTGCCACCACGTCCAGCTTATAACTTCCATTTTTGAAACTATTTGTATACATGTTTTTATTTTTGAGGACTATGTATGCCTAGTGACTGTCATGTCATAACCCTGGACCACCTTGAACTTGAGATCCTCCTCCTCAGACTTGCCAGTCACGGGCCTCCAAGCCTGTCTCTAGTGGGTTTTATTTTACTGCATTATTATTTGCATGTGGATGTGGGTGTATGCAAGATGTTTGTGGCAGGGAGGTTCCACAGCTCAGGATTGGAGGTCAGAAGACCACTTTTTAGAGTCAGTTTTCTGTCCATCATATGAATTCTGGGAGGTCAAACTCCGGTCATCAGGCCTGGCAGCTAACCATTTTACTGCTGAGCCATTTGCTGGCTGTAGTGGGTGGGGTTTTTTGTTATTGTTGTTGTTTGTTTGTTTTGTTTTTCTTTTTTTTCCAGACACAGTTTCTCTGTGACTTTGGAAGCTGTTCTGGAACTCACAGAGATCCACCCGCCTCTGCCTCCCTAGTGCTGGAATTAAAGGTGTGCCCCACCAATGCCCAGCTGTACTGGGTTTTAATATGACAAGATATGCTATGTTTGCCAGGCAGTGTGGCACTTGCCTTTAATCCCAGCACTCTGGAGGCGGAGGCAGGAGGATCTCTGTGAGTTGGAGACCAGCCTGATCTACAAGAGCTAGTTCCAGGACAATCTCCAAAGCCACAGAGAAACCCTGTCTCGAAAAAGATATGCTATGTTCTCTTTAACTTGCTTTCCAGAGTTTTGCTGTTGATGTTTTTTGAATATGTTTATGTCTTTATTTTATTTTTTAATTTAATAATTATTTGTACACTCACTGTGACAATGAGTGTAGGTATGTGCAGGGCTCCCTGGGAGGCCACAGGCTGAAGTTAGAGACATTCATGAGCCACTGACAGGGGTGCTGGGGAGGAGCAGTGTCCTAGTTTGCTTTTTATTACTATGATAGACACCATGACTAAAAACAACTTGGAGAGGGACGGCTTTGTTTGACTTACAGGTCACAGCCCACCATGGAAGGAAGCCAAATCAGGAACCTGGAGGCAGGAACTAAAGCATAGGCTACAGAGAAACCCTACTTAGTGGCATGCGCGCTCTATAACCTCCTCTGCCTGCTTTCTTTTGGGGGGGGTTAGGGGGACATTTTTTGATTTTTGAGACAAAGTTTCTCTGTGTAGCTCTGTTTGTCCTGGAACTCACTCTACAGAGTGGAGCTATCCTTGAACTCAGAGATCTTCCTGCCTGTGCCTCCCAAGATCTGGGATTAAAGGCATACACTAGCACACCCAGCTTCAGCTTGCTTTCTTATACACCCAGGATCACCAGTCCAGGGGTGGTACTACTCAGTGAGCTGGGCACTCCTGCATCACTCAGTAATGAAGAAAATGCCTGTTGGCCAATCTGATGGAGTCAGTTCCTCAATTAAGGTTCCTCTTCCAATGACTCTAGCTTGTAGTAATGACAGACACTACCCAGCACATGTAGGAAGTGCGTTTAACTGCACAGCTGTTTTTTATTTTGTGGTGTTGGTGGGGAGTAAAGCTCTGTACATGCTAAGCAGGCCTGTCCATGCTGAGCTGTGCCTTCAGCCCCCTCACACCTGTCCCTGCAGAGACTTTTCTGCCCATCTTCTCCTCCTTCCGCATTTCAAGTTGCTTTCCCAGCTGTCTTCCGTGCATTCACATCCCTAGTGAGGGCTCAGTGACATCCTGTGACCTCTCCTGTGAGTTTCTAACTTCCATCTGGCCCAAGCTGAGCCAGGCCAGCACTGAAAGCCACAGCACCGAGTTCTTCCAGGTGTAATGCATACCTTGACCTTCTCTCTTTAGGCTACATTGGTGTGGTTAACCGCAGCCAAAAAGACATCGAGGGCAAAAAGGACATCCGGGCCGCCCTGGCAGCTGAGAGGAAGTTCTTCCTCTCTCACCCAGCCTACCGGCACATGGCTGACCGAATGGGTACCCCACACTTACAGAAGACCCTGAATCAGGTAGCGCTGAGGTTTGAGGCTGCCATGTGGAGTGGGGTGGTCTGCATTGTGTAACAGTGTGGCTTTAGACTTGGGCCATTCTCAGTCTCCAGCAAGTAGCAAGGCTGCCAGTCCGTCTTGTTACTCCCATCCTAAGTTTTTGTCGATGAAGGCCTGTGGAGGACTGGGTGAGTCATCAACTTGTATTATGACTGTTTTAATCAATTAGTGTCACTGTTGTTATAATACCACTGCAGTAATCCACTTGCCAGAAGTCTAAAGACAGTCTTGAGGTGGGTAACAGGGTCAGTGAAGGCTGGTGACTGCACCTGAGTGGGAAGACAATGCTGTCTAGACTGCTGGGGTCTAAAGTCCTGCCCAGCTTGTGAGCGAGCAATCCTGGCCCAGCTTTCCCATGCCTCCCTCCTCTTGCCCATCAAGGGAGAATAGTTGCCCCTTCTGTTTCCTAGGTTAGGAGTCAGTGAGGCCATGTGTGTAGCACCAGGTATACACCTTGTGGGAAAGAGACAGTCTCCAGGGACTGCCACATTTCTCACAGTGATGAAACAGTAAGAAAACTGGTAAGTGCAGGTAGGGACAGAGACCAGAATCCCCCTTGAGGGTGTGAGGCTCTAGCTACATGCTAGAGCATCTGTCTAGTGAGGGGCTGGGAGCATTGCTCAGCAGCAGAGTGTCAGCCTTGCATGTGGGAAGCCCTGGACTCCATCTCCATCACCACATACCTCTGTGTGGTGGTACATCTGTGATGCCAGTGCTCAGCTCAGGAGGTCAGGAATCCAAGGTCATCCTCAGCTTTATAATCTGGAATAAATGAGAGTCTGTCTAAATCAAAAAACAACAGCAAAGTCCCTCAGTTATGCATGGATTGGGGCAGAGGCTCTGTGTGCTAGGGCCATTGTCACTAGGTCAGGTCCAATGGGAAGCCAGACGGTAAACAGGCTGTCAGATAGATTCCTAGTCGAGTGCTAGCTGCAGCTGGGGGTCACTGCAAGCAAGATGAAGTTCATCCCTAGAGCAATTGGAACATGAATTGGGCAGTGTGTCTTGTAGGAAGGGGCCTTTGGACTTGGGCAGAGTGAGGACGAATAGATAGAAAAAAGAACCCTCCCCAGAGCCCAGGGCTGCCTGAGAGCCAGGCATGTAGGCTGGTTGGTCCCCTTGAATTGAGGGGCCTTCTGTAGGACAGTGGTTGTCCCTGCTCTCTTTGTGAGCTCAGGATTGTAGTCCACAGGTACAGCCACCTGCTGCTCAAGCCTAAGCAACTGATTTCAGTCCCCACAAGGTCATGTAGGTAGAAGGAGGCAATGAACTCCATGAAACTGTTCTTTGACCTCTACACAGGCACCTGGCATGTGCATTTACCACCACCCCCCCCCCACAATAATAGGTAAATAAGAATTTTGAAAGGTCCACAGAGCTGTAAGCATCCAGCCTGCCGTGTGAGACCTCTAGCTTCCTCTGAGAACAACAGGGCTTGGTACTTACACAGGCAAGAGATGCTTCCACTCTTCTCCCCCAGACTCTGCCTCTTCTCTCGGTGGGAACCCACCTGCTATGACATGGTGCTCTTGCTCTGTCCCTCCTCACCCTCCCACCTTCCTGCTCCTTGGAATGCCTTTGGGTCTCAGTTGGAGGTTATCCTAGGCCCGGCCTGTGCATTGGTCCTGCCATGGGTGTCGCCCGACATCTGCCTACGGGCTTTCTGCATCACCTTGTGCTATTATTGCCCAGCTTCTGTCCATGTCCTGATTTTGTCTGGAGTTTTGTGGCTCTCTTTCATTTGCACCCATGACTCTGGGTGCTGTGGCTGAGGGTGGATTGTGTTCTTTACTCTAGGCCTAGGCTATCTTATCTGACCCCCTTACCTTTCCCCTAAAGCAACTGACCAACCACATCCGGGAGTCACTGCCAACCCTGCGCAGCAAACTACAGAGCCAGCTGCTGTCCCTGGAGAAGGAAGTGGAAGAATACAAGAATTTCCGCCCCGATGACCCCACACGCAAGACCAAAGCCCTGCTGCAGTATGTGCCCCTCCCACCTTGCCCATTGCCCGTCTGATTCATTCTGCTCTCCATCCAGGCCTTGTCCTAAGCGGCCCACGACATTGTCCCCAGCACTTGGGAGGCAGAGACAGGCGGGTCTCTGTGAGTTCGAGGCCAGCCTGGCCTATAGAGTGAGTGCCAGGATAGGCTCCAAAACTACACAGAAAAACCCTGTCTCAGGGGGAAAAAAAAAGAAAAAGAAAAAAATGAACATGACATTATCATCTGTTGGGTACATGCTCAGAAACCATGCAGTTGTATTACAAAAAAATTCATTGTTTTAATAGGTTACCATTTTTGTTTATTCCACATTCATTGCTGTAGTTGGCTGTGGCCTGTGACATGTAAGTTGGATACATTAGAATGGGATATATTATCTAGGACCATCATCCCAGCCTTTGGGAGGTGGAAGCAAGAAGATAAATCAGCCGGGCGTTGGTGGCACATGCCTTTAATTCCAGCACTCAGGAGGCAGAGGTAGGCAGATCTCTGTGAGTTCGAGGCCAGCCTGGTCTCCTTAGCGAGTGCTAGGATAGGCTCCAAAGCTACACAGAGAAACCCTGTCTCGGAAAAAAAAAAAAAAGAAAAATCAAAAGAAGTTCCTGAGCTGAGAAGGTAGATCAGCAAGTTAAAGTTCTGTCCCCAAGTCTGATGGCTTCAGTTCCATCCCTAGAATTGACATAGTGGAAGGAAAGGAACTACTTTCCTGATTTGTCCTCTGACCTCCACATATGCACCCTCTGCAGTTAAGAGCACGTGCTGCTCTTGCAGAGAACCTGGGTTCAGTTCCTAGCACCCACATGGCAGCTCACAACCACCTAGAACTGTAACACCAGGGGATCTGATGCCCTCTTCTGTTCTTCACCCAGACACATGTTAATAAAATGAGATAAGAATTGTTTGAAGCCAGGAGCTGGAAAGGAGGCTAACTTGGTAGAGTTGTCGGAGGACCTGAGTTTTGGATCTCCAGCATCCATGTAATATAAGATAAGCATCCACACACTGGGATTGCGGAGACAAAATGATCTGTGTTCCCTGGGCAGCTTGTCCAGCCAAATTGTGTTCAGTGAGAAACTGTCAGTAAGACAGGGAAGGATTTAGGAAGACACTGGACAGCATCCTTTCTCCTGCCTGTGTCACACATGGCACAAAAAAAAAAAAAAAAAAAGCAAGAGAATGAGCTAATATATTGTGATCAGCTGAGTGTGGTGGCAAAAGCAGTCTGTGACAGCAGCAATCCTTACATTTTTTTCTTTTTTTTTTTTTTTTTTTTTTGAGGGGATGAGGGGGTGCATATCTTATAGCCCAGAATGTAGAGATCCAAGGGTGACATTGAGGAGTCGGTGTCTTCCTTGCATCATTTTCTTCCCAGTGACAAGTGCCTTTACACATTGAACCAGATTGCTGACCACCCTTCCTCCCACAAATACACTTCTCTTTTTCTGTTGTTACACAAACTATCTATGTGCTGCTTAACGGTTGCCAAGCACTCCAGTGCTCATCCTGTTAGCCTGCTCTGCATATACTCAGACTGAGGCTCACAGTGCAGTGCCACTTAATCAAACTTTCCCAGCCTGTCTATGGTGGAGCCCTATGCAACCAGGGTAGAGAGGCAACAGAAACTACAGATGCCCCCCTGGCCTGTTGGGACCTGCTGTCTTGACAGTCATACGATAAATCAAGGGCTGCATAGAGTCCATGAGAACAACCAGGATGGTGCCCAGTGCTTGCCAAAGCAGCTGTGCTATTTTAATCATTTTTTAAAAACATGTATACATAGTCTGGAGAGATGGCTTAGGGGTTAAGAGCACTGGCTCTTCCAGAGGCCTCTTCCAGGGGTCCTGAGTTCAGTTCAGTTCCCAACCACCACAACCGTCTATAATGAAATCTGGTGCCCTCTTCTGGAGTTCAGACACATATGCAGGCAGAACATTGTATACATAATACATAAATCTTTAAAAAAAAAAAAAAGCAAAACAAAAAAACCCTTGTATACATTGGCTGTTCAAGTTATATTTAAAAGGAACAAAAAATGGCCAAACATGGTGGCATACATACACCTGTAATACTAGCACTTTGGAGGCTTGGGCATAAAGGTCTTTAGTTCAGGGCCACCTGGGATTACAAAGCAAGATCCTGTCTTCAAAAACAACAAAATGTAAAAGACAAGAAAATTATCCACAGGACTGACAAGTTGGCTCAGGGGGTAAACATGCTTGCTGCCAAGACTGATACCCAAGTACTTATCCCCAAGACTCACATAGTGGCAGGAGAGATCTGACTCCCACAGCACCCCCAACCCTACTTGTACACTGTGGCATGCCTCCCCCAGTAAGTACATGTAACTTAAATGTCTTTTTAAGAAACAAAGTTTGCCACAGAAACTTCTGTCTTGGCTGTTTTCTTTCCTTGAAGGATGGTCCAGCAGTTTGGAGTGGACTTTGAGAAGCGAATCGAGGGCTCTGGAGACCAAGTGGACACACTGGAGCTGTCTGGGGGGGCCCGAATCAATCGCATCTTTCATGAACGCTTTCCCTTTGAACTGGTAAAGGTAGGTGGTCAGTCTGGAGGGTACATCAGACACCCGGATGTGTTTGGTCTCTGTCGTGGCCTTAAACTTTCTTCCAAAGCAAGATGTCAGGAGCTCTGCATCATGCTGGAGGCTGCTGTCAGTAAACATGGCCTGAAGGGCATGTCACATCCATCTTCCCAGATCTCACAGATTAGATGTTCTGGGCAGGACAGTAGGAAAGTCCATGTTTCTTCCATTGATGAAGGGAAAAAGATACGTGATGGCCAGCAAGATGGATCAGCAGGTAAAGGCACCTATCTCCAATAGGAAGCAGAGTACCAACTCCTGGGAAGTTTCCTCTGATGAACCTCAGCCCCTCCTACAAACATGCACATACAACAAATAAAAATCTTATACAATTCTGGGCTTACAGCAATATTTCCAGAATTCTGTAAGCTCAGGAGGAAAGTGAGTTTGAAACTATGTGGCCTACAGGAGACTTTGTCTCAAAAAAGTGAAACAAATTCAAACAAAATCAAAAACAAAAGCCAGGAATCCCAGCACTTGGGAGGCAAAGGCAGGTCAGTCTCTGAGTTCCAGGACAACCAGGTTACATAGCAAGAAGTCCTGTCTCAAAACAAAACAAAAAAAGTAAGCAAAGTGTGCGTTTGTGTCCTTTTCCTTTGAGGCAGTGACTGTCTTGCATGCATGTGTGCACACATCCCAGCCAGTATGGAGGTCAGAGGACAGCATCCAGTGTCACTCGCTTTTATGTTTGTTTTTACAAGACTGTTTCTCTGTCCTGGAATTTAATCCTTCTCAAATTATTTCCCCTTGTTTCCCTCCCCTGTCCCCATCCCGGTCCCCGTCCCCGTCCCCGTCCCCGTCCCCGTCCCCGTCCCCGTCCCCGTCCCCCCCAATCCCAGCTATTACTCTTATTTTTTGAGGCAAGGTCTCATTGTAGCCTAAGTTGGCCTTAAATTCTCAGTCAGTCATGACCTTGTGATCATCCTGTGCTAGGGTTACAGTCATGTTTATTATCACATGCAGTTTATTCATGTGTATGTGCCAAGCACTCAACCAATAGAGCCCTGGTCCACCTGTCCTTTTTCTGAGATGGCATCTCTCATCTGCCTAGAAGTTAACCAGTAGGCTAGACCTGCTGACTGAAAAGACTTTATCTTTTTTATTTTATGAGTGTTTGTCCTGATGTGTGTAAGTACACATACCTAATTGCCTGCAGAAGCCAGAAGAGGGCAGAGGATCCCATGGAACCAGAGTTATAGACAGTTGTAAGCCACTCACTATGTGGGTGCTAGGTTCTTTGCAAAAGCAGCCAGTGCTCTTAATGCTGAGCCATCTCTGCAGCCAAATACACCCAGCTTTATGTATAATTTTGTGTGTGTGTGTGTGTGTGGTGAGAGGGGTGGTATCTATTTAGTGTGTGGAGGTCAGAGAACAACTTTTAGGAGTTCTTTCCTTCTACCAAATAGATTTTGGGGGTGCCTATAGGCATGGAAATCAGGATTCACTAGACTCAGTATAAGTGAAGTGGAGTTTATTGGGGAAAAAGAACTTACACAGGAAACAAGTGACTATGCATTGCTCCAGCTCCAAGGATGCAGACCCTGTTACCCTGGTGCTGTCTACGACCCGAAAGGGCTTCCCAGCCCCAATTCTTTGCCTTTTAACTGACCACATCCACACCTGTGACCACACCCTTTTGGTGCTACAGGTGCGGAGGTGAATATCACTACAGTGATATTCTTTTAGTCTAAAGAAGATGATTTAGGCTTGATACAAAACTATATACAATGATAGAAAATATCAAGTATGCTTTAGGAGAAGAAAAGGTAAAAACATTCACAATTCAAGACCTGCCAGTGAAGCAACGGATGCCTTCATATCATCAGGGTTAGTGGCAGACACCTTTAATTACTTGAGCCATCTCTATGATCCTCAGTTGTTTTTAAGTTTGAGCTGCTAGGTCATCTTTGTGAAATACAGTCATAAATAGGAACAAACAGTCCCAGAATCTGCTTATGTTGTGAGGTGACCCTGGGAATTCATTACGTGTATTCGGCTTCTTTCTTCGAAGATGGAGTTTGATGAGAAAGATCTACGACGAGAGATCAGCTACGCTATCAAGAACATCCACGGAGTCAGGCAAGTTACATGGGAAGTCCCCTGTTCTCTTCCCTTCTACCCATGTTGGCTCCCAACCTTCTGAGTCCCTGGTAGTGAGGCCTTGAGAGGCAGTTTTCAGTACAATGTAAACATCTTGGTCTCCAAGGACATAGAATGTGTGTGCTGGCTCTATATGACCGTCCTGGGTCTCTTGACTACTTGTATCCCCTGGATGAAATGCATAGATTAATGTGACCTTATTCCCTGTGAAATCTATAGTGACCATAGGTTGGGTGGGAACAGAGTTGAATTGTCCTCATGGAAAACTGCATCTTGTTTCATTATGGGTCACTTGTGAACCTCTTGGTGTCCCCTCCTTAATTACAGTCAACAAAGTAAGCTGGGCAGTGGTGGTGCATGCCTTTAATCCCAGCACTCGGGAGGCAGAGGCAGGCAGATCTCTGTGAGTTCAAGGCCAGCCTGGTCTACAAAGAGAGAGAGAGAGCCAGGACTGTTACACAGAGAAACCCTGTCTCAATCAATAAAGTGTACCTGGTTCTCTAGCATCCCAAGATCCTCAGGTTACCGTGAGGGCTCCCCAGTCAGGAACTCTCAGGTATCCCACCCTCAGCTTTGATGGGATGGCCTTCCTTGTCAGGGACCTAGCCATGCTTTGAAAGTGGCTGACCACCCTTTGTTTCTCTCTGACTTATCTTTCCCTGCTTCCCCACTGGGTCTGGACCTTTTTAGAACTGGGCTCTTCACGCCCGACTTGGCGTTCGAGGCCATTGTGAAAAAGCAGGTGGTCAAGCTGAAAGAGCCCTGTCTGAAATGCGTGGACCTGGTTATCCAGGAGCTTATCAGTACAGTTAGGCAATGCACCAGCAAGGTACCGAACCCGCGGACATGGGGCCGCAGGCTTGGTATCAGGCCCCAGGTTACCTCATTTCTGAGAATCGTGAAGGGATGGGAATGTATCAGTCTGGACTCACTCAGAAGGGGGTGGGGGAACGCTGGGCTTGTGAGAACCAGCTAGAGTGTGACAGGCCTCCTGGGACCCTGATACCAAGCCCAGCATGCATATGGTGGAATGGGGCATCCTCTGGCTGTGTTGCTTTGCTGCTTGCTAGGGAAGCAGATCGGGGCTCCCCGCTTGTGCTGTTGGAGGCCAAGATCACTGAAGCCTCCCTGTTGTCCCCCTTGACAAATGACAAATGCCTGGCTTCTCTGGAATAAGTCACTTCTCTGTCCCCATGGCACTGGAGAGAGCATAAAATTGGTGGCATAATGAGAGCTCAGTGCTCAGCTTCACAAAGCCACTTGGGCTCCATAGTGGCCCTACCAGCTTTTGTTTTACCCTGTGCTGTCCTTTTTCAACCCCACCCCTCTCAGGTCAATCTGTACTCAGTCTTCCTGGTCATGAAGACCTATATCCCACTCTTCATGGGCAACTGTCTCCACTCCCACCATTCTGCCAGGCTCGTCTGGGAGGGCTGTTTCTCAGGACAGTACACTTCTGCCAAGCAGCTGAAATGCTTGCGGGGAAAGAGAGGGCATCTGCTTGTAGGACCTCAACATCCCCAGCTCTCTGAAATGACAAAGAATTTCTGCTTGAGCTGCCTGTTCTACTGAAGCAAGTCCTCATTTGCTTCCTCAGCTTCTCCAGTTGGAAAACCAAACAAAAGAAATAACAAAACAGAAAAACAGCCAGGCAAAGACTGGGGTTAGGGTTAGGGTGAGTTTGTAGAGTGCTTGCCTGGCGTGCACGAAGCTCGGGGTTCCATCCTTAGCATCATGTGGACCAGATGTGGTGACTCATACCTGTGATCCTGGTACTCAGAAGTTGGAAGTAGAAAGACCAGAAGTTTAAGGTTATGCTCAGTCATAGGGAAAGTTGGAGGCTAGCATGTGCTACATGAGACCCTTTCAAAAAAAGAGTGGCTGCTGATTGCTATCCTAGGGGCCATTGGGCCTGTGATGACATTGTCCTGTAGCACTGAGCCTTCCTGGAACTGTAGACTAGCCCTGTGCTCTCCCAGGCCTTGCTGATCCTGAGCAGCTTCCAAGACATATGTGGGTGCAGGCTTTTCTGTGTGTGCACTAACCGGCTCATTCTTGTTTCTTCTTTCTCTCTCTGTCTCCCGTCCTATGTGTGCATTTGTGCGTGTGGCCTGCACTACCCCTGGGTGTCTCTCAACCTCATCCCGCCCTTCTCCACCTGACCCAGGACGGGGCTCTTCACCCCCGACATGGCCTTTGAAGCCATCGTGAAAAGACAGATTGTAAAATTCAAAGAGCCGAGTTTGAAGTGTGTTGACCTGGTGGTGTCGGAGCTAGCCACGGTCATTAAAAAGTGTGCTGAGAAGGTAACAGGCCTTGGTCCTCCTGTCCCTCATCAGTTCCCACCTCATCATTTCTTCACTGGTATCATCAGCCCTGAGCATCTGGACAGTCTTGCCTGGAGGGAACCCCTGCTGGCCACATTTGTCACCATCCCCACCTCAACTGCCACCTCATACTAAGATGGCAGGCTACATGCATGCCCCACCTTTTCAATTTTGGGGTCCGATGGAGGTACCTTTGACATGTCCAAGCACAGTTACATTTGTGAAGCAGTTTCTTCTAGATCCCATCCCTTGCAACTGCCGTGTTCACCTTCATGGTGTGCCTTAAAGTGCATTTAGTAGCATCTCTTCCCCAACACATGTGGCTCGGATCATGCACTATCCCAGAGGGGGTCTGAGGGTTTGCCATGCGGGTGCCAAATTCACAGTGATCAGGGGCCAGTTTCCTGCAAAGGGTTCCCTGAGCTTGATGACCCAGATGCTGTCTCTGTTATCCCAGAGCAGGGCACCATGCTCGTTTGAATGCTCAGTGAGGGCCATGACTTTGTCCTGCCTTTACTCATGCTGGGCGGGAGGGGGATGTCTGGCACCTCTGGTGGCAAAAGCCTATCACTCACTTTCTCTGCCACTTTCTACCTCCAATCGCTGGCTTTGCAAAGCGGCTCTCAGCATGCACAGCCACTCTCTCCCTTTCCCACTCTGACTGGCCTGCTCTTGTCTCCCAACTCCTGCAGCTGGGAGACAAGAGAAAGTGGGGACCTAGAGGCCCCTCATGTCTTTTCCTGTTTCATCCTCGCACTTGGTTTATGTTCCTCCCTGATGTGGCCTAGAAGACCTTGCCAGCTCAGTCCTTGTACTTGTCCCCCAGCTCAGTTCCTACCCCCGGTTACGAGAGGAGACAGAGCGGATCGTCACCACCTACATCAGGGAGCGAGAGGGGAGAACCAAGGACCAGGTATTGTCCCAGTTCGCTATTTCCTTTTCTTTGTTTACGTCTAAGAGATACTGAGAGTATAGTTCTGTGGGGTTTTTATTGTCTTATTGCAATTGTTCATTTCAAGTGTATTTCCACAGTATGCGTGTGGAAGCCAGAGGGCATCTCTGAGTCGTTGGGTTGCTCCTTCTCTCTTTATGTTGATGTTCTGGGGGGTTCAAACTTAGGTCAGAAGGCTTCCAAGGTAAGCCTCCTTCCCTGCTGAGCCATCATACCAGCCCCAAGGATGCATTCTGAGGCCTGGGACCATGGCTCAGTTGGTATAGCACTTGCCTAGAGTGTGTGAAGCCCTGGTTTCTATCTCTGGCACCCAGTAAGCAGGGTGTCATGGGGCACGGCTATCATCCTGCCACTTGGGAGCTGGAGGCAGGAGGATCAGAAAGTCAGTGCCATGCCTTGAAGCCCACCATTGTCAGCTGCAAGAGACTTTGTGTCCCTCACCACCACCCCTAATAAGAGATTTATCAGTCTCCACCGTCCCCAGTGTCGGCCTGTATCCTGGCCTCCCCATCACATACTGAGCCATCTCCCACCATGGTTGTTCAGATGGTGTTAATATCTTTGTGCAGCTACATATTAGATTGCTCTGTGATGCAACTAGATCTTTGTTCATTTTCTAAAGACCAAGGTGGTTTCTTGTTTGCCAGGGCTTTTCCCCACAGTGCTTTGGGGAGACTCTGTGTGATTCTGCTTTCCAACCTTGGCCCAATGTGTAGGATCCCTGTGCCATCTGTGGTGGCATGGTTGGCTTTCTCCATTGTTGGGGCATTTTCTATGGGGAATATACTGCACCTTTTTAAGGCTGCCCTTGCCTGTCAGGGGATGACTGGGAATCTCTGGAGGAGAGTGGACCTGCAGCAGAATCCCTGCTGTCCCTTTCCATATCATGGGCTAGAGAAATGCCTCAATAGTTACATGGTCAGCAGACCCAGATTTTGTTCTCAGCACCTACAGGTTGGCTCACAAACATCTATGAATCCAGTTCCAGGGGATCCCGTACCTATTTCTGATGTTGCTAGCACTAGGCATACACTTGGTTGAACAGACAATAAATGCTGATCTCATGAATATAAAATAAGATAAATAAATATAATTATGGGGCCTCATTAGAGGTGTTTTAATGTAAACTAGTATAAACAATCTGTATTTTTTGTGTCTGCTTATTTCTCTGGTGAGAGTTTCCCTACAACACCTTCACAAACTGGCTTCTTTGTCCTTAAACCTTCATTTAGCACTGGGCCTCTTAGATTAGCTTCTGTGGCCTGGGAGATGTGGGTTTGGTGCAGATGCCTGTCTTAACAGTACAGAGAGTCTAAAGCCAGGCAGACTGGTTACATAGTGAGACCATCTCAAAAGAAAACAAGGGCAGACAGCTTCCAGCATTCACAAAGCCCTGGATTGTCCCTCCTGCCAGCTCCCAAATCACAACACAGAAACTTAATACTAATTATGAAAGCTCGGCCGATAGCTTAGGCTTGTTTCTAACTAGCTCTTACAGCTTAATTAGCCCATTTCTATTCATTCACTTTATGCCTCGTAGCTTTCTTAACTTTACTCTGCACTGCCCATGCTGCTGTCCTATTTCTTTAGTCGCTGTCTTGCAACTCTCCCCATCTCTGCCTTTCTTCTTCCCAGCATCCTCTCTGCCCCCAAAATCCTGCCTAGCTATTGGCCGTTCAGCTTTTTATTAAACCAATCCAAGTGATAAATCTTCACAGTGTACAAAAAGTTTATTCCCCAATACTGGGTAGACACTACCAGGCTTCATCTCAGAGCTGTAGGATGACAGCACTCAGGCCTTACAGAGCCAGCTTCAAGGACTATGCGACAACACCCATCCTTCCCCAACAACCTCCTAGGTCTGTGTACTTTATCTTGCTTATTAGTGATGACCTAGAGGCACATTGACCAGGGGCCAGTGGAAATCTTTTGGGGAACCAGAGCCCCTCTTCACAGACAGCCTGAACTGTTTTTTGTTTGGTTTGGTTTGGTTTGGTTTGGTTTTTCGAGACAGGGTTTCTCTGTATAGCTTTGGAGGCTGCCCTGAAACTCACTCTGTAGACCAGACTGGCCTCAAAGTCACAGAGATCCACCTGCCTCTGCCTCCTGAGTGCTAGGATTAAAGGTGTGTGCCACCACCGCCCGGCAGCCTGGACTGTTCTTAATGGGAACTAGGGTAGAAAGGTGCCTGAGCCAGTGATGTCCAAGGAGAAGCCTCAGCCTGTGCAAACCAGGACCAGAAGCATCCCCACACACAGAGCTGTATTGGGGTTAGCAATGGACTATCTGAAGGCATCTGTCTGCCAGATTTGAGAATGCAACCTTCCCAGGTGTGTGTGTGTGTGCACACATGCAAATGTGATTGGGCTGTTAGTGTGTGTGGTGCTGGATTCTATCTTCATGCCAGGCAAGTACTCTACCTACCACTGAACCATAGCCCTAGCCCAACTTTTTTTTTTTTTTTAATTTACTTTATGGGAATGAATATTTTGTCTGCATGTGTACCACATGCATCTCAGGTGCCTGTGCAGGCTAGAAGAGGGCATCAGGTCCTCTAGAACTGGAGTTACAGACAGTTGTGAGCCACCATGTGGGTGCTGGGAATCAAACCTGAATCCTCCAGATGCTTGTAACCATTGAGCATTCTCTCCAGCCCCCACCCTTCCTTTTAATTTTACATTCGGATGTTGAAAACAGAATCCCAGCACTTGGGAAGCAGAGGTAGGTGGCTCTCTGAATCTCAGTTCAAGGACAGCCAGGCTACACAGAGAAACCTTTTCTTGAAAAGAGGGAGGGAGAAGAGAGAGAGAGAGAGAGAGAGAGAGAGAGAGAGAGAGAGAAACAGAGCCACGAATTACCCAGGCTGACCTGAACTCAGAATGCAGCTGTGAATTTTTGTTTTGGGGGAAGACCTGCTTCTGTGGGGGTTCGAGTCCCAAAGAGGATGCGTGGAATAGGCGGGGTTGTGTGTCAGATACACACTCATCACACAGGGCACACAGGGACTGGCATGATCTGAGGATGAGTACTAATGGCTGCCAGCAGTGTTTAATTAAAAAAAAAAAACACCTTTTATACCCTATAAGGGAGCATTGAGCTGGGGTGTGGCCTGAGTTCAGGGGTTGAGAATCTAGCCTTGACCTTGACAATAGGCATCAGTCATATGTTAATGAAGGGCCACAGGTTCCTCTTGCTAGAGATAAGGAGAATGTCCAATGTATCAAACAGGAACTTTCTTTAAGCCCTAAGAGAATGGAGACCTTATCCAAATGTTTGACTTTGGAAAAGACTTCTGAGGAGCAAACATTATACTGCAGTTTCTTAGTCTTACTGTGTGGGCCTGTTTGCCTCATAACCGTACCAAAAGGGAAGGTCCTGGTATCTTAGTCTTTTCCCATTAAACTGTACCATTCTCATTTCTCTGTATTTATTAATTGAACTCTTGCCCTTAATGACCTCAGGCTCTGGATCTGAATTGTGGGCATTTCATCCTCGGGGTCAGGTGTATCTGGTAAATCTCTAACTTTCCTCCTCTAATTAGGAGGACACAATGAGATTCCTAGTTCCATGGTGGCAGGGACTTTTTTTTTCTCCAAAAAATTATTTTGTTTAATGACGCTATCATTGTACCCTTTTTTATCCTCCCTTCCCAGACAGCGTTTCTCTGTGTAGCTTTAGAGCCTGTCCTAGAACTCGCTTTGAAGACCAGACTGGCCTCAAACTCACAGAAATCCACCTGCCTCTGCCTCCAGAATACTAGGATTAAAGGTGTGTGCCGCCACCACCACCACTGGGCTTACCTTTTTAACCTTTACCAAAGCCTGCACAAAGTTTCCCAAAGGGAAAGGCATTAATATTGAGAATCACTAAAAATGAAAGTAAAAAGATGCTGGAGAAGTGTGGTTTGCAATATTGAAGTGCTGGAACTTTGTCAAGCAGCAATGACCCTATTCGGTCCAACCAGTTTTTGTTCTGTATAATATATACACGTCCTGTCGTGTAACTGTGCTGCATGCATGCATGTGCTGTTCAATTTGAAAGTAGCACTGATAAGATAAAGGCTAATCGGGAATCATAGTGCATTGTGACTGGAGGCTGGCTCAGGTGCATCACCTCAGTGGTACAGGACTAGTTTAGCATGGATAAGGTCCTGACTCCAACCCCAACAGTACCAATAAATGAGAAAAGAAAGAAGATAATGAACCCAGTCCACATACATAACTTAGTAACATTAGGCCCCAGATTGCAGCCAGTCAGGGGCCAAAGGAAAATACCAGCTCTCATGAGGGCTGGACCCATGACCACCACATTGGGCTACCAGGCACTGTTTCCTTAGCCCAGTCTTCCTGTAGGGCTCTTTCCACCTGCAGGTCTACCCTTGTGCCGGTGATCCAGCCTTCCTGCTGAGCTCCTGCCTAGGAGAGCTATGGGAATGCAGCAAGTGTGTGTGTGTGTGTAAAATGTGTATTTGTGTAAAGTGTGTGTGTGTGTGTGTGTGTGTGTGTGTGTGTGTGTGTGTAAGCACTATGCTTACTGCCTTCCCTGCTCTTCTGTACTCTGTACTCACAGCTACCCCTGCTTCCCTCTAGATTCTTCTTCTGATTGACATTGAGCAGTCCTACATCAACACAAACCATGAAGACTTCATTGGATTTGCCAAGTATGTACTTACACAGCCAGTGACACAGGGGCAGCATCCGTTCCTACCCCCAGCACCAGAGTGTGTGTCTGTCTGTCTGTCTGTCTGTCTGTCTGTCTGTCTGTCTGTCTGGTGAGAATGCTGGGCAAAGTGCAGAGCCATTTGAGAGAGCCTTGAAGCTTTTTTGGACCAATGATGACTTCTGTCAGTGTCCTTACCCAGTAGGCTATTTGTGGATATCTCAGGGATAAAGTGGGAGCTCTGTGGTCATTCTCAGGGAAGGGGGAAGCCAGCCAGTTTCACACCTGCAAGAGTTCTCAGAGCATTTCATGGGCCAACACACGTCTGAATCCTGGCCTTTTCACAATCAGAGCAACTCACACACTCTGCTCCCCACTATAGATTTAAAACTGGAACCCTGGGCTGGGGATTTGTCTCCATTTTAGCACTTGCCTGGCATGCATACAGCCCTGGGTTAGACCATGAAAAGCAGCTGGGGTATCTGATGTATTGGCCCTGGGTCAACAATTAGCTCTGAACCAGCTGGGCAGACTTGAGTGCCACTGGGAGTGTTCTGGTGGTTCATGCAGGTTCTCTTTGCTGTGGTTAATAGAACACCACCACACACCAAAAGCCATCTCCCTTGTGTCCATATACTACTGGTGTACTTCATGCCACGCCCCCTGGTGGAGCAGTTAGCAATCACTACCAGGTCTACCTGCCCACAGGAATTTTCTATGCCAAGACATTCAGTTTGACAGTATGTTCAGGGCTCCTAGAAGTCCAAAAGGTAGCTGTAGGGCCTAACCTTAAGGTTCTGGAGACCTCTTGACAGCGAGGGTCTGCTGGGCACAAGGCTTAAACTGTGTGTCAGTGCTCTAGGCTGAGTTGACAAAGCATCTGTTCTGGGTTGGGCACATGGCAGCTGAGTGAAGTGAATGAATGATCAGAAGCACCTCCCTGAGTACAGGTAGCCTAGGACCCGTGCTGGGGAAGGCAGCGAGTGCCCCCTGATTGGTTGCTGCCGGTTTCCTCACCTCAATGTCTCTGCTTCTCACACTTCATCCACAGTTCCTTCTCACAATCTCTCCTGTTTTTCCTTTGACCACTCCACTTCTTTCTCTGGATTCCGGGGGCCTTCCCACTTACCCAGCTGTTACTATACTGAGGAGCTGGTCACAGGGTGGGTATTGCCTGCTGTGTGCCTTTTTTGCTGGTGTGTGACACAGGGTGCCCTCCATGGGGGCCCTCAAGCCTATGGGTGACGTTTCAGGAGCCTCTGAATTACAGCAGAGCCACTCTATGAGTCAGGGCCCTGCCAGGCTTGAGAAGAGGATAGTGGGTAAGACTGCAGTGCCTGCCATATAGGGCACACAGATGGGGGATTGAGTGAATGGTTGAGGATAGCAGCATAAAGCATGAAGGATGAGACCTGAAGAGACCCTCCCAAAGAAGTCATGACAGCAGTGACAAGCAAGGGACTCCCGAGAGGCTGGCAGCTGGGAAGGGGTACCAGGAGGCAGGACCACCAGCCAGTAAGGCAGGGTGAAAATGACAGCTGGTAGCCACACACCTTACCAGGAGGACCCTGTAGGCTGAGGAGAAGAATTTAGATTACCTGCCATGGTAAGGGCCAGGGAGAGGTGTCACCATCTTTGCTGCTGTTTGCCGGAGCCACAAATCACTTATGTTGTACCGCATCTGGGGCCTTGTCACCACACAGCTTTGCTATGAGTGATGGCTTAGTTTAGTCAAACCTCCTTCAGTATGGATCATGAAGGTCCTGACTGCCTCCAAACATGACAGACAGGAACGGCTCTGAGGGCTGCTAATGTGGCCCCGTTGGCAGAGCACCAGATCAAAGGGACATGATGGCACACACCTGTCACCCCACCACAAGAGAGGTAGAGGCAAGGGGATCAGTTCAGAGTCACCCTCTGCTATATATCTATATTAGAAGCCAGCCAGGACCATAAGAGACTCTCCCTCAAAAAAAAAAAAAAAAAAATTGGGGCCAGTAAGATTGCTTAGCAGGTCAAAGTGCTTGCTGTACAAGCCACAGGACTAGAAAGATGTCCACATGTGCGGTGGTATGTCTCCCTCCAAAAATAACAAAAGTTTAAAAATAAAGCAATTTCTGGGATAATAATGTCAGGAGTTGTGCTGGATAGAATTCTACATCAGCTTAATTTTCTAGTCCTTACCAATCTAGACTAAGGAGCCCATCCCCTCGAAACACACATAGCCCGTCCAGCAACCAATGTTCCCAGACTCCCTGTATAGGCCATCTGAACTCACTAGGTAGCCTAGGTTAGGTGCTCTGCCCACCCTAGCTTCCCACTTGCTGGGGTTACTGGCCTGCATACTCTTAACTGCCACTGGAGCTCAGCTGGTTTGCACTGTAGGCTGAGTCTCAGAGTAGCCAGCAAAGAATGAAGCCAAGCTGTGTTGCTATCAGTATCTTCTGCAGTTTCTAGCTAGAGCAGTAAGATACGGCTGGAGACATGGATACAGTGGTCAAGAGCACTGGCTGCTTCTACAGAGGATCTGGGTTCTGGTCCCAGCACCCACATCAGGTGGCTCACAATCACCTTCAGGGGATCCAATGCCTCTGGCCTCCAAGAGCACCTGCACATATGTGGTGCACATAAATTCATGCAGGCACACACACACATTTTTTTTTTTTTTTAAGGAGAGAAATGTAGCAGAGAAGTGACAGGCTATTTTCATATGGTTATATAATTGTTAGAGCAGTGTATATATCAAAATGAATAAGGAGAGGGAATTATGGTGGCTTGCCTAGAGGGACTGGGTGCAGAGTGCTTCCCTGGCATACACAGACCTGTGCTCCATACATCGCACCTCATAAACCAGGTGTGGAGGCACTAGGTTGGTAAAGGCAAGAGGATCAGGAGTTAGGGTCATCTTAGGCTATACGTAGGGTTGGAGGCCAGCCTGGGCTGCTTGAGGCACTATCTCAGAATAGATCATAAGCCTGATAGTGTACAATCCCAGCACTCAGGAGGCTGAGACAGGCAATTCTCTATCAGTTACTGGCCAGTCAAATCTACATAGTAAGATTCTGGATAGCCAGGGCTACATAGTTTCAAGAGAGTGAGAGAGAAAGAGGGAGGGAGAGGGAGCTAGAATTGCTCTGAATCTGTGAGGGAGAGCTAACACAGCATGCATGAGGCCTTGCATTTGGTCTGCTGCATCCCCCCTTAAAACACTCAGGGGGCAGAGTATGGCTTGTTGATGAGGAAACATTCAGAAACCTCCTGTAATAGGTTTGGGTAGTCCCTGGCTTGAGACAGGACCTTCTAGCTAGCCCCTTGGCTAGTGTGAGACCCAGAGTTAAAAGGGCTTATCATGAGAACTACTTCCAGACTAATGTAGGGTCAGGAGTGGGAAGAGAGCATGAAAAAGCCTCTGGTATGTTGTGTACCTGGAGCCAGCACCCCATCCCATTTCCCCTGCATCTTACCTGCTCTTTTAAGCTTTTGCTTCCAGTGACTTGTGGGAAATAGCTGGTGCTTCTGGAATGGCCCTGAGAAGGTTCTAGAAGCAAGGGTTAGCCAGATACATTTTTCTGGTTTCGTGTGCTCTAGCTGCCCTCTGCACATAGGGGCCATGCCTTTGCCTCTAGCCTTACTGGAAACTGCAGCCCAGGGGAAACTCCCCAGCTTGGGCTGCCGGGGCCTCCTCTGCCTCCCTCTCACATCTCATCTGAATGTGCCTTCTCTGCTTCTGTTACAGTGCCCAGCAGAGGAGCACGCAGCTCAACAAGAAGAGAGCCATTCCCAATCAGGTAGCTCCCCTGCCTCAGCTGTCATTTCTTCTGGGTACAGGAACACAATGAGCCCTGTCACATCACTTGATATGGGAACTGACACCTTAGTACCAGGCCAATCATCCTGTCAGCCTCTGGTCCATATAGCTGTTAGGGCTACGGCTCCCATAGGGCCTAGGGGGCAAATTCCAACACCCAAAGGCCTCATCTGACATCTAAGGTGAAAGTTAGAGCTGACCCTTAAAGCCAGGGGATTATGTAACAATCACCCCAAGGTGTAAGTAAGCAACTTGTGTTGCTAACTCTTGGTCCCAGGCAGCTCAGGAGAGATAGAACTGGTTTGAATTTAACAACTGGGGAACCCCCAAGTTTCCTTTATATCTTACCCCAGCTTCAGAGGCTTTGCATATTTACGAATGGCATTATAAATGCCAGTATTACGTTTCTGGTTAGGCTTTTTCTGTCCGGTTTCTGCCCACTGTCCCCCAATCCCCTTCCCATGTCAGGCTGGGGTGAGGGTGGGGTGCTGTGCTGGTGTATCTTGCACGATTTAGAGCCAGATTGGGGAGAAATGTAACAATTGCATGATTTTGAATTCTTTTTTTTTTTTTCTTGCGCTTGCCATAGGTAGTACATATGTTGTTGCTTTTTTTTGTTTTGAAAAAGATAATGAATTAAACATTAACACCATGAATATAATTAATAGCATGTAATTTTTTTCTTTTGCTGTTTTTTGTTCCTCTGCTCTTCTTTCTCCTGTCATTGTGCTTTCCCCGCTTTTTCTCCATCCCTCATTCCCTCCATCTCTCCTCCTCCTCCTCTTTCTTGATTGACCCACAACCCTAACTTTACATTCTCAAAGGGGGAGATCCTGGTAAGTACCTGCTTAGTGTGGTAGCTAACTTAGAGAATCTGGTAGTAAAGGAGGCCCACGCTTCACCCTCTACTCAAAACAACTAAAAAAGGAACTAACCTGGGAGTCACATGTTCCTGCTGTCACTGGACCTCTTGTCCTGGGTATCTGTTGCTCTCACAAAAGTACTAACCCAATTGCACCTTTCTGGGAAGTGCACTCCTCTGGCTGGTTTGTAGCAGGTTCTCCTGATGTCCTGTAGTTCAGAGATGGCAAATACGCAGTTCACACATAGTCTCCGTCCCCCTCAGCTTCCTAGCCGTGGGAGAATTTGTTCAGATCCTGCTGGAATTCCTTCTTGCTGCTGCCCACTCTTACCCTTTCTGCCTTCTGTGCAGATGTCACTGACTGACCAGAGCATGTGTTATTAGCACATGTGATTTTCTTCCACAGTGAGCCTGGGGCAGACTTGCTAATCAATCCTGGCATTCTTTCTTAATATGCATGCCATCAACTCCCCATTCTGTAGCTGTTGTGGCTGATTGTAGTAATTTTTTTCTTTTAATTTCTCCATGTGATATCCTACTCCCGTGCCCATGACAGGCACAGTAATCAGGTTGCCCATAGCCTACTGCCTCCATGGCATAGCATTAGTGTGGATGTTCAGCTCCACTCTCCCCCTTTTCTTAGCCATTGCCTGGGACAGACATCACTAATTGATCCCAGGACTTTTTTCTGCTATGTTCAGAATTGCTGCCATACTCCTCTGGGCAGCCCCCACCAGTCAGTTGGTGTATATCGTATTTGCCATCCTGGCTGTGGATAACTTGTCTTCCCTTTGCACAAGGGCTGGGAGCTGGAGTGTCAGAAGGGTGGGAGGCCCAGCCCCATTGAGAGCTGACTCTAGGTGGAGGTACTCCCTGTGGGCAACTTGGCCCCTATCCCTGGCAGTCCCCTTTCTCCAGAACATTCTTCTGCTGCTACTACCGCCCTCTGCAAAGATATTCTTGGGGTTTGGAGCCTTTGCAAAGGTTGAGCCAGTTCTGTGCCAGTGGTGGGTCTTTCATGGGCCTGGGTCCTGGCAAAAGTAGGCTGGTCAACGTTGAAGCCTGGGCCAGTGTTAGAGAAGAGGGTCCAGGGACTAGATCACCCTCAGGCCCAGAGCAAGTCAGTCAAGTACTGCCTCTTCCCTCTAGCCCAGATGGCCATTGTTCCTACTTTATTCCATCCTCCTGGCCACAAAGTCCTGTGCAGTCACAAGGCCATGAGCATGGCTGGTCATAGCCTCTGGGTACCCAAGCCATACTTGGTCTTCCAAATGATCTTCACCCAGGGAAGAGACCATCATGGCTCACACTGAGCTCACCTTGCTGCCCAAGCCACCAGGATAGGCTCTCTCTCTTCTCTGTGCCTGCATGCCTGTTCCTGTGTACCCCAGAAATGGGACCCCTAGCTGCCTCTCCTGTTGCCACACCTCTCCCCTGCTTCCTTCTCCCCCCAAGTCCTTGAGTAGGGATATAACCTGGATTCCCAATCTGCCTTGGAGATGAGGAGGCACAGCCTTCTCTGTTCCATGGAGTCAGTCTGTATCTGTATTCATAGAGCAGGGGTTTTGTCTCAGACTGCACTGGAGTGTCCACATGGGCAAGGGACTGGAAGGAAAGGGTGCCTTGGGACCTCTTGCTAGCTCATGTGCCCTGAAGCCTTAGTGGAGGCAGCTGGGCCAAACCTCCAAGTAGACAATGACACACCTGTTATGCAGGAGTTCAGAGACCCTACAATGTGGGATTACTCTTCTTGTGATACAGTGTCAGCTTGGACCCAAGTTTCTCTCCCTTGGTTGATGTGTGGTGCCAGAGTCTAATTCCAATAAGCTCTTTGAGCTGTGCCAACACTTAGTGAAAGGGCCTCTGCCCATTCCTGGCAGGACAGAACACAGCTACAGGATCCCAGCCCCCTTGGGCTGGATGATGGTCCAGAATCAAGCAATCGGCCCTGCCAACCTCACAAGCCAGCCTAGGTGGCCTGGGCTCAGGGGTGATCCTGGAATCCTGAACCTCTGGAGCTGAGCCCAGGCCATTAGAAATGAATCAGTATGAGTTTATCACTCTGTTCCTGGCATGGGCACCATGCCCTCCCTGGGCTTCCAGGCATCTCTAGGGGTCTGTGGTCTTTTGACATCCTAGGGCAGGAGAAGTCTGCACCCTCAGATCTAATGAGGGATAGCAAGTGGCAGTTTATGCTGTTCCTCACCTAAGAAGTGACTTGCGTAGTTTCTAGGGATCCCTGAAACTTTAGTGGCCTCTGTAGCCTTCATGGTCTGTGGCTTGGAGCCCACATATGCCCACTGTAGCAGGGTAGGTGGACATGGGTCTTTAGATTGGGCAGCTCTGGAGGTAAACAGGATAGGCAAGGGGAAGCCTCAACTCCAGGCCCCAGACTAGTCCCTAGAGAACCTGTTTTGGGGTCATCTATTCCATCCTACCTGGGATCCCCAACACCAGTCTCCCCAACTATCAATGGCTGCACAGCACATGCTCTGCAGCCTGACTCATCTGCTGCTGCCTTAGTCCCATGCATCCCTGTTGCCACCTCTGTGTACTTCCCGCTCTCCCCAGAATCCCCAGGTCAGGAGGTGGGGGGCTCAGGCCTACATGTGCCTCCGTGTCCCAGGGATCACGGGAACATGAAAACGTGGCCCCCCCAGTCTGCCTACGCCTAGCAGTCAGGTGAGTCCCCAGGCTGGTCTGGCTACTGTTCTCCATCCAGATGACAGATAGGGTCCAGTGAGTCCTTTCCACGGAATATCTCCCAGCCCAGACCCTGAGTTGTCATGCATAGAAAAGTATGCTCACTGTGCTTGAAGCTAGCTGGGACACAGGATCTCTGGGCTGTTATCTTGTCCCCAGCCCTCTGAGTGAGCTATCTGTCTAGCACTGGTCAACTGCTCACAGAAGAGCTTGTGTGGGTGTGCCACCTTTGTGGGTCAGCCCCAGGAAGGAAGGGAGTGACAGCCTCTGCGTGTTGTGAGCTCTCCATCAAGGCATCTCTACTTACTTTGCTGACCCAAGGAAGGGCAATTCCTTAATGTCACATTCCACATGACCTAGTCCCAACCCCCAGTCCCAGCCTCCTGGCTTTAGCCCCTTGCCATTCCTAGGACATAGATTTTGTTTTGTATGTCCTCAGATCACTCTGACCACAGAGGGGCTTCTAGGATCCCAGCTCTCAATCTCATCCCTGGACTAGTGATTTGCTTTCTTATCTCCATCCATCCCCACGCCTGTCCCAGTTCCCTGTCTGAGTCCCAGCTGGGATTGCTTGGGCTGATGTGGAGCTAGGATCCTGGCTTGGGGCTGGAGGTATGCCTGTCACAGAAGCAGGCTTCCATCTTTGCTGGGTGGGAGTAGGGAGGGGACAGCAGGGATGTCCTCCCTGCTAAGATGAATCCTCCCCATTAGGTGATCCGAAGGGGCTGGCTGACCATCAACAACATCAGTTTGATGAAGGGCGGCTCCAAGGAGTACTGGTTTGTGCTGACGGCTGAGTCCCTGTCTTGGTACAAGGACGAGGAGGTGAGCAGTCGGGGACAGGGGTGGCCTAATGAAGTGACAGATTCCAAAACTGATTCCCCTTGGCCAGCACTCAAGTGCCCCTCCCCAGCCCCCCCCCCCAGGGCGGGGCGGGCAGACAGTTCAGTGGGTAAAATGCTTGTCCTGTCACAGAAGACCTGGCTGTAATGCTGGAACCTATGTGAAAAGGACGGTACAGTGTGTGCTCATAGTCTCAACAGGTAAGGCAGACACAGGGCCTGCTGGCCTGCTGGACTTGCCTCTTTGACAAGTTCCAGGCAAAGGAGAGGCCCGCCTCAAGAAGCCAGAGGGTAACACCTGAGAAATGACACCTGAAGTGGTTCCCTGGCTCCCACATACATACACGTGTATGTACCTACACATACAAACATAGACCTACACAAAAAAGAAATTAAAAAAAAAAAAAGAGAAAGAAATTGAATGGGGGTTAAGACTCAGTCGGTAGATCTGTTTAGCACACAAGAAGCCTTGTGTTCCATTCTCCAAGAGCAGCACCACAGAAACCAGGTGTGGTGGAACATGCCTGTCCCATCACTCAGGGTCCAGAGTTCCCAGCCACCCTTCAGTGCGGAGCTGAGTTCCCTGCCAATGTTAGGGGAGCTAAAGGGGTGTTCCAGTCCCAGGCCTCGCACAGGGCCCTACTCCCAGCATGCACTCTAGTGCTTTAGATCTACAGTCACCTCTGTAGGGTCTTCTAGCCACTCTATAGGAGGGAACCTCACCACTACCACCACCAGTGTACCAAAGGGGTGTGGGGGGACATGTGACAGGAAACCTGTTCCTGCACATTTCATTTTCCCTTTCTAGAAGCTGTCCAGCTGGTGCCCTGGCCCCTGAAATGGTATGGGTACCCTCAGTGGCAAGGCCAGATTTCTCTGGGTTTTTTTATTGTTGTTGTTGGTTTTTTTTTTTTTTTTTTTTGTTTTTTTTTTTTTTTTTTTTTTTTTAAACAGGCTGGATTTGAATTCACTACGTAGCCCAGGGTGACACTATAATCTTGCTGGGATGACAGGCATGGATGCCATATTGGGTTTATGAGGCAAGAGTAGAGTTCAGGGTTTTGTAGTTGTGAAGGAGGCACACTACCCACTTGTCCCCAGGCTCCCCTGGTCATTGCTCTAACTCCAGTTCCAGGGTACCTGACACCTTCTACAGACAGACATACATGCAGACAAAACATCAATGCACATTTAAAAAAATAAAAAAAGGCAGAGGCAGGAGGATCTCTGAATTTAAGGCCTACAGATCATCCCAAGACAGCCAATCCTGTTACAAGAGAAACCCGTCTTGAAAAAACAAAAAGAAAAGTTTACATGCCCATGAGACCTCACCCTGTGCCAAGCTCACAGTGTAACATGAAAAATAAAAGACCCAGAGACTGGTTTTAGGGTTCAAGCTTCAAGCTGTTGTTCAGAAAAGCAAAGCAGCCAGCACTAGCTCTCACTTGTAGCTCAGGCTGAAAGGGCTGATCCATGAGCTCTTCACCAAGCCTCCAACTGCTCCTACTAAATACTGAAGACCCTGCTTCTATCTTTTATAGAAGTGCTGGGATTAAAGGTGTGTGCTCTGTTACTCTTTTAGACTGATTCAATCTCATGTATCCCTGGGTGGCCTTGAACTCAGAGAGATCCCTCTACCTCTTAATCCTGAGTCATAGGATTAAAATTGTGTACCACCACCACCTAGCTTCTGGCTGCTGGGATTAAAGGTGTGTGCATGGCTTCTATGGCTTGTGGCTGACTTTGCTCTCTGAATCCTCAGGCAAGCTTTAATAAATCATAAATAATATAACACCACATCACAGACTAGGTAAGGCCACACAAGGCTACATGCAGAAGGCATGCTCCTCCATTTCTTTATAGACTTTAAATGTGTTACATTTATTGATCTGAATATCTGTGTACAATTGTCCCAGAGTACATGGAAGTCTGACACAACTTCCAAGAGTCTGCTCTCTCCTTCCATGTGGGTCTGGGGGACACGCTTAGGTGGGCAGGCTTTGCTGCCATTACCTTTACCCAATGAGCCATCTTGCAAGTCCTCAGTCCCACTCAGGAAATTCTCAAGTCCACCTTGAGATTGGCACTGTCATGGGTAGGTAGGAAACTGAGGCCTTGAAAGATAGCTAGCCTCATGTCACAAAATATGGAAGGGGGACGGAGGGGGGACGGGGAGGGGGGGCGACACCTCTCCCCTGAGTTCAGGCCATTCCCACACCCAGGCCAGATGTATTTATTCAGGAGTGTTTGGAGATGACATTTGGCTTCCCTTTTCCATGAGGCCACAGGCTTACTTCTGAATGATTCTATAACCTGAGGGACTCTATCAGTGAGCTCAGAAGAGCTCCCATGGACATTTCTGGGTATCTGTAAGCCTCTGAGACTGCAGACATCTCCCGGTAGCCAATGGTGTAAATCCAGTTGCTCAGTGGCTGAGGTGGTGTGGTAAGGGTTGTCTGTCCTTTCACCTTTTCTTCCGTCTAAGTTTCATGTTTGCTTATTTATTTTATGTATGTGTGCATGTGCGTTGTGCATTTGCCATGGTATATGTACACATGGTGGTCAGAGGACAACTTGGGACAGGTGGTTGCTTCTTCCCACCATGTGGTCAGGGATGAAGCCAGGTCATCAGGCTTGGTGGTGGCAAGCTGGTTTATCCACTGAGATATGTCATGGCTTTTTTTTTTTTTTTTGTGGGGTTTTTGTTGTTATTTTGGTGTTTGTGTATATTTTTACATTTTTATGTGTATGGATGGTTTGCCTGCATGTCTGTCTGTCTGCCATGTGCGTACAGTGTCCTCAGAGGTGAGAAGAGAGCATTGGATCTCCATGGAATCGAACTTCTGGGAAAGGAAACAGTGCTTTTAACTACTCATCTCTTCACCCTCCTGTTTGTTTGTTTTTTAAACTATTCCATGTATTGCTATTTCTGGATTTACCCCTCTTTCCTTCCGTCCCTACATCTGTGAGCTTGGTGACCCCTGCCTCAAGGCTGTCCAGGGATCCAGGCTTCACAGTACCCCCTGGAGAGTCCAGGATAGTGACCTGGCCATCATTTTTCTATGTAGCACATCAAACTGTCGGGGATTGTGCCTCCCAGAGGCACGCCAGTGTTGAGTTTCTGGGTTCTAGCTCCAGCACTCTTTAAGAAAAGCAAGCTGACAGCTGGGCAGAACGGGGGTATGTGTGTGGTCCTCCAGGGTCCTGTGATGGAGATGCCATTGCCCAGCCCTGGGCCTAGCTGACAAGATGAGTATTGAGAGTTTTTTTCCTTTGCTGGGAAGGACCATGAACTCCTGCCTCACTGTAGACCAGCCCTCTGTCAGGGTCACAGCACCAGCAAGAGCAGTAAAAGGAGCCCTGTGTTGCTAAAGACAGAGCAAGCTGGGATTCAGGCACTATGGGGACCCTTTCACCTCTAAGGATCCTGGCAGGGCCCTCAGCATTGCAGGTAGCAGCCATCCCTGAGAGCCAGACCACTTTTGTAGACAAGCCTTTGGTAAAGACCAGAAGGAGCCTTTTCTTTATTTTAGGAATAAAAAAGAGGAGAACAGTGCCAATTGAAAGCAAGGAGAAAGGCCCAGTTCAGCTGAGGACATCCTTCCCCAGCCCCAGGGCTCTCTCAGTCTCAGGGCTACTTTTCCCACCCTCCTCCTCCTTCCAGAATCTTCCCTGGTGGAGACAACAGTACAGAGGGCAGCACTTACCTCAGGTCCTCTGTCTCCACTGCTGCTGCTGGCCCACGCCCAGCCTAACCAATGTGCAGACTACTGTACATATCACAGCCTGCTGAACAGCTAGTCTGAACACTGGGATGGCGGGGGTGGTGGTTCAGCCCTCAGGGTGACCACTGTGCAGGCCAGGGAGCCTCTGCTTCTCCCAGGGTCCTCCATTCATCCTTGCACCCTGGGCTCTTCTGACGTGGCAAAGGCAGGGTGACTGGCTCACATCTGGATAAAGTTGGGGTTTTCAGGAAATCTGAAGGCGGGCTGGAGGAGGGCTTGAGTTGATGGCCCACGCCACAGAAGGAGGGAGGTCCCTATGCAGTTGTGCGCTCTGTAAGCAAGCGCATGCGCACACTAATGCATGTGCCTGTGACTGAGACTGCAGCTGCCTGATCCTGGGCAGAATCATATATAAACAATTCCAGATGTGGCAAGCCTAGATGTCTGTGACTCAGTTACTTGGCCCTGGCCTGCTGGTGAGAGGCTTCCTGTCTCATGACACCAGAGGGTGCAGGCCACAGAGTTACTCTGGAAATTACCCCTCATAAACAGAAGTTCCTTCAGGGACCCCCAAATTCCCGACTTTGTTTCTTATAACCAGGCAGACTTCAAGGCTGCCCTTCCTATTTGGGGATCTCAGCATGTAGGGCAGGTATGAGGGTGTTCCACCCTCCATGGCCACAGCCCCTCTGCCTGTGCTCAGAGGTCAGTCAGAGCAACAATAGGAAACCTGGAGCCAAAACCATACCACCCTCCCCATGATGAGACGCCTCAGTCCTCTTGACAGGTGGGGAATGGGCACAGGGGAGAAGCAACTTGTCCTAAGACACATGGCCTAGAAAGGCAGAGCAGTTTAACACAAGTACACATGCAGTGTTCAGACTGGCCCCGCCCATCCCCTACCCTTTCAGCACTATAGCTGCTGGAGAATTCAGGGGTGCTTTTCCAAAAAGCTTCATGCTGGGGCTTTTTGATAACACAATGGCCAGAAACATTAGAAAGAGTGATAAAAAGTGGCTGGGGAGCCAGCTCTGTGGGGAAGAATACTTATGCTGCAGCATGGGGACCTGATTTCAGCCCTAGGCAGGAGGATGTTTGGGGCTTGCTGGCCAACATCCTAGCTCCAGGTTTAGTGCAAATGCCTGTCTCAAGGAAAGATGTCCAGGTGAGGGTCTAAGGCTAGGGCTCAGTTGTTAGAGCTTTTGCCTGGCTTGCACAGAGGCCTGGGTTCCATCCCAGGACTGCAAGACCTGGCTGTGATTGGTGGCTCGGGCCTAAAATTCATTACAGCTCTTGTGAGGCAGAAGGATGAAGAATTCAAGGTCATCCTCAGCTATATAGCAAGTTGGAGGCTAGCCTGGGCTACGTGAGACTTTTTGTTTTGCTATAAGTCTATATGGTATAGAAAACCTTCACAGAGAGCTGGCTTTTCATCTACAGCCTTTTTTTTTTTTTTTTTTTTTTTTTTTTTTTTTTTTTTTCCCCCCCTTTTTTTTTTTTTTTTTTTTTTTTTTTTTTTTTTTTTTTAAGCCACACACTTTTTTTGTTTATTTATTTATTATGTATGCGGTCTTCTGCCTGCATACCAGCAGAGGGCACCAGATCTCATAACAGATGGTTGTGAGCCACTATGTGGTTGCAGGGAATTAAACTCAGGACCTCTGGAAGAACAATCACTGCTCTTAACTGCTGAGACATCTCTCCAGCCCTCATCTACAGGTTACACAGTGGCCCCACTCTGTGCCCCTGGACAGCCAGCTTCCTACCCCGAGTACATGTAAAAGGAAAAGTTCTGGGAGTGGATCAGTGTGGCTTTGGCTTCAGCCACTGCTGCCAGTCACATGGCTATGAGAGTTGTAGAGAGACTAACTGGCACAGGCCTATCATTGCTGCTACCTGGGTTGCTGATACAGGAGGATTAGAATTTACAAAGGGACTGGGAAACTTAATGAGAAGTAAGAAGAGTGCTGCTGCCTGAGCAATGGATGCTCACCTTTGAGTTCCTGGGTTGCAGCTCCAGCATTGCGATGAAGAAAAAAGAGCGCTTGGGTTGGCCTCAGTGGCCTGGCATGCATGAAAAACTGGGCTTGATTCCAAGCATGGAGTAGAGAGACGGTGACTCACAAAGCCAGTGACACTTCTATGGCATTGGTGCCCTGGCATCAGCCTCCCGGTTCTGGCATTCAAGAAGGCCTCTGTGCTTCAGCCTTCCTTACTATGAGTGGGATTGTCACCATAACTCAGTGACATGAACCAAATTCTAGCTGTCAATTCTGTCCATTCATCTAGAAGTGGGGAGGACCACCTGGGAATAAAGAGTGGTCATGTTACACGTGAAGTTAGAACTGAGTAGTTTGAACACCCACTGCATGTGTGCTCTAGATGAAAAACAAAATTGGCAGGCATCCATCTGGGAACGGTCATGTAGGTCATAAGCATAGTGTCTATAGTAGGGTGGGATGGGGTTAGCCCTAAGGTCCCTTCTGCTCAGAGACCTTAAGGAGGAAGCGGGGGAGGGGGGGAGGTGCAGTGCCAGGACAAGAACATTCTGAACAGAGACGTCCTGAAGTTTTGAGGGAACATTGGAGTGAACAAGGGGCGACACACCTCTCAGCACCAAGTCAGGTGTTGGCAGCAGCTGTCAAGTGGCTGCAGGCTCTGCCCTGTCAGCCTAGGTGAGGCTTCTGCCCTCTGCTTAGGAGAAAGAGAAGAAGTACATGCTGCCGCTGGACAACCTCAAGATTCGGGACGTGGAGAAGGGCTTCATGTCCAACAAGCACGTGTTTGCCATCTTCAACACAGAGCAGAGGTGAGGAGCCTGCAGGCCCCTGGGAGAGCCCATTGCCCAGTGGCCTTGTTCACTGCTTCCGGAGTCCTGAGCACTCTCTTGAGTCATTTCCCCAGGGTCTCACCTTGTAGAAAGGGAATGCAGTTAAACTGTTCCAGGAGTGTTTCTGCGTAGTGGAAGTGAGGGCTCAGCGAACACCGTAGATGCAGACGATGGAATGAGCATGAGGACCTCAGTCTGCCCTCCCACACACCCAGTGCTGGGGAGGCAGAGATGGGAGGGCCCTTGGTAGTAACCAGCCAGCTAGATTAGCCAGTTCTGTAAGCTGCAGGCCAGTGAGGCAGACCATGTCTCAAAGAGGAAGGTGAACAGAAGGTGAGGAAGGTGTCTGTGTTGACCTAAGCCTGCATACACATGCACATACCATGTCCACAGACTTGACCTGACCCTGACCCTCACCTCATTCCTAAGTACAGAGACCATTCAGTGATGGAAGCTGTATGTGTGGCTCAGCAGTAGAGTGCCCGCCTGGAGTCTCCTAGCGAGAGTCTGGAGGTGTGGTACAGTGAGCTGGTCAGATGGCTCAGAGAGTAGAAAGTGCAGTCCTGATGACCTGAGTTTAGTCCTTGGAATGTACGTAAAGATGGACTTTGCAAATGGACACACACACACACCATTATAATTATTGAAAAAGAAATTTTAAGCTATCTGTTATTTTGGGCTGCCACACCAGGCAGTGCAGATTGAGTATGTCTCTGCTGTGGTAGGAAGTTCTGGTGGACATGGTTGCTGGGCTCTTCCTTGCAGACACCTCAGTGGAAGCTCCCAAGCCAGAGCAGGGTATCATGAGATATACCCAACATGGGACTGGTGGACAGCCATCCCTGCAGAACAGGAAAGAGGTGGCAGAAAGCAGAGGCAGGTAGGTCTCTTGAATTCGAGGCTAGCCTGGTCTACCGATCAAGTTTCAGGGTAGCCAGGGCTATATAGAGAAACCCTGTGTTGCAAAAAACAAACAAAAAGCAAACTTCCAACTTAAGAGGGAATGAGTTCAAGTTCATTGCTCAAGCCCATCGCTGTGAGGTGGTCAGGATAGCAGGAGCCTGAGACCCAGGGGCACGCCCCATCCCCATCAGAGACGGACAGGAGCTTGCATGCTCCCTCCTTTGCTTGCTGGCACTGAGGAAGTACACGGTGTCATGTGCCACTACACTGAGTGGAGACAATGCTCCACAGGCGCACAATCCCCATGTGTCCTCCACACGGAGTTCTAGGTTGCGTCAAGTTGATAATTAAAACCAACTGTCATAGAGAAGAAATGTCTGACCTCAGATACCAGGTTGGAATGTCAGGCATGGTGGCACACACCTCTAATCCCAGCACACAGGAGCCTGAGGCAGGAAGTTCTAAGTTTGAGGCTGGCTTTGGCTGTGTAGCAAGCCCTGCCCTATAAATAGCAAGCTGTCAACACTTCTGTACCAGATTTGTTTGATCTGATGGTAGTGTGTGTATATGGTATGTTATTGGTGCTATAGTGTACATGGCAGGCACCCAGAAGTCCTTTAAAAACTGGAGAGAGTACTAGACCCACCTTCATGCCCAGATCAGGCAGACAGACACACCACCCCCAATCCCATGCTTTTAGTGATCAGTCAAGTCCCCTTCTTCTACCCAGGAATGTCTACAAGGACTTACGGCAGATCGAACTGGCTTGTGACTCCCAGGAAGATGTGGACAGCTGGAAGGCTTCGTTCCTTCGAGCTGGAGTCTACCCAGAGAAGGATCAGGTGAGGAGCTACCTTCCCTTCGTAAATGACATACCAGAGGCTGCCTGGGAGAAGGAACTTCTAGGTCATAAGCATTAATCAGCCTTTCTTTGCTGTGGTAAAAATAGCTGCCATAGCCTATGGAAATGGTTTAGGTGGTGAGGTGCTTGCAACACAAGCACAAGGGCCTGAGTTCAATACCTACAACTACATAAACAACAGCCAAGTGTGGCGGTGCAGAAGAGGCCGGGAGAGGAGGACAACTAACGTCCAGTAACCAGCAACCTAGTCACATCAGTGACCCCCAGGCCCTGGGGAGACACTTGTCTCAAAAAGTACCCTGGTCTTCATAGTGAGTTCTAGGCCAGCCAGAGCCACACACCTGTCTGAAAAAAAAAGTACCTGCTGTGTATGAAAACTTTAGTTTGGATTCCCAGAACTCTAGTAAAAAGCCAGGCACAGACTGTGTTTGCCTGTTATCCCAGTCTTGAAAAGTGGAGGTACTTGGGATGAAAACAGGTGTGTGGATGGATCCTTGAAACCTGCTTAACAGGCAACCTAGAAAAATTAGTGTGCCCCAGATTCAGAGATGGTTAAGGGAATGGAGTTACTTCTGCCAGGCCAGAGGATGTGAGCTTGAACCCCAAAACCCACATGTTGGAGAGAGAGAACGGATTCCCACAAGTTGTTTTTGACCTACACGTGCCATAGCACACACGTGTTCACACAAATACATACATGTACAAAACATAAATGTGGGGGTTTGTTGGGGTTTCTTTTTTTTTTTTTTTTTTTTTTTTTTTTTTTTTTTTTGAGGCTGGGTCTGTGTGGCTCTGCCTGGCCCACAATTCACTATGTAGACCAGGATAACCTTGAACTTACAGAGATCTATCTGCCTTCTGAGTATGAGAATTAAAGGCTTGTGCTACTACCCCTGGAATAAAATGTAATTTTAAAAATTTTAAAACAGGTTCTGGGGCTGGAGAGATGGCTCAGAGGTTAAGAGCACTGACTGTTCTTCCAGAGGTCCTGAGTTCAATTCCCAGCAACCACGCGGTGGCTCACAACCATCTATAATGAGATCTGGTGCCCTCTGCTGGCATACAGGCAGAAGACTGTATACATAATAAATATTTAAAAAAAAAAAAAAAAAAAAAAAAACAGGTTCAAGACCAGCCTTGCCTACATAGTAAGCTCTAGAACAGCCAGAGCTACATAGGGAGACCCTGTTATTCATAGATAGATAGACAGATAGATAGATAGATAGATAGATAGATAGATAGATAGATAGATAGATAGATCCTGTAATTCATAAACAGACATTTTGAAGTAGTAAGGAGAGGCCCATGTGTGTCGGGCTACAACACACACACACACATACACACACACACACACACAGAGAGAGCGAGAGAGAGAGAGAGAGAGAGAGAGAGAGAGAGAGAGAGAAATGGCTCATATGAATGATATATACACATACATACAAATCAATAAATACCTGTTACATATAGCAAAGGGAGAGGTATTCTGTTTGGCTCCTGGTTTTAGAGGGCTCAAGTCCATAGCTACTTGGCCCCATGTGTGTAGCCTGTCTGTCATGGCAGTGGTGTTGGGGCACAGGTAGGAAACAAAGGGGAGGACGTGAAAGGGCTGGGGCCAAGGTGTCTCCAGGCATACACCTCTAGTGACATACTTTCTCCAGCTAAGCCAAGCTTTCTGAAGTTTAAAGAGCTTCAGAAATACAGTACTGTTGTTCTAGAGAGATGGCTCAGCAGATAAAAGCAGTGGCCACTCTTCAGAGGACCCAAGTTCAGTTCCCAGCACCCACATGACAGCTTACAGCTGTCTATAACTCCAGTTTCAAGGGATCTGACACCCTCTTCTGGCCTCTGTGGACACATGCACACATATGGCATGTATACGTACCAACACTGATGTACACATAAATAAAAATAAATCAAAAATAAAAATCTTGCCGGGCGTTGGTGGCGCATGCCTTTAATCCCAGCACTTGGGAGGCAGAGGCAGGCGGATCTCTGTGAGTTCGAGGCCAGCCTGGTCTAAAGAGCAAGTTTCAGGACAGCCTCCAAAGCAATAGAGAAACCCTGTCACACAAAAACAAAACAAAACAACAACAAAAAAATACAGCAGCACTAGCTGGAGCCAAAGGTACCAACACCCAAGCCCATCGTTCATAGTCAAACCTAACACAGGACAAGCATGGTTTGTCATGAGGGTCCAGAGACTTCTCCAGCACAATCCATGGCCTGGAAGGCAGGTGGACTTGGACTCATGTGCCTTGTTTTCTTTTTCTTTTCCCTTCTGTTCCCACCTCTGGGAAGAGTCCAGCCTGGTTTTAACTAGTATAGACCACATGGTCTAATGGGGCTGTTTGGAACCCACTGGAGGAGGTTGGTTGTCATCAGGGAAGGCACATAGTTCCCAAGAGTTGGGACTCAACTACAGCTGTTCAGTGATGCTCATCTTCTCTGTGTTCCTTGTAGGCAGAGAATGAGGATGGAGCACAAGAGAACACCTTTTCCATGGACCCGCAGCTGGAACGGCAGGTGGAGACCATCCGAAATCTGGTGGACTCCTACGTGGCCATCATCAACAAGTCCATCCGTGACCTCATGCCAAAGACCATCATGCACCTCATGATCAACAATGTGAGTGAGTGGCAAGTTCCAAGTTAGTCAAGGTCTTGGCTGAGGCTTACTGGGCTAGGGATCCAACCGCAGCACCACAAAAACCAGGCATGTTGCAGTACACCTGTCAGCCAGGCCCGAGGATCAGAAGTTCACCATCATCTTCAGATACATAGCCATTTTGAGGGGATCTTTGTTTATGTAAGACCCTGTCTCTAAAACCAAAACCAACGCAGGCAAGATGCCTCAGAAGGTAAAGGCCCGGGCCCTGAAACCCACTCCCCACAGCTGCCCTCTGACATGCATGCAGGGATGCACACACACACCACACACACACACACACACACACACACACACACACACACACAAGACATAGAGTAAGAACATTATCCCCGCAATGGGAGGCAGAGGCAGGCGGATCTCTGAGTTCAAGTTCAAGGCCAGCCTGGTCTACAAAGCGAGTTCCAGAACAGCCAGGGCTGTTACACAGAGGAACCCTGTCTCAAAAGAACAAAACAAAATGAAACAAAAAAGAACACCATCGATAAATAAATACATTAATTTAAGAACGAATTTAGGGGCTGGAGAGATGACAGATAAGAGCACTTGACTGCTTTTCCAGAAGTTCTGAGTTCAATTCCCAGCAACCATATGGTGGCTCACAACCACCTATCATGGTTGTGAGTCCTGCAAAGTTAGAACAAGTTGGTTTGTTTAGGTAGCTTTTTGATTTTGTTATTGATGGTTAGTTGGTTTTGTAATGTTGGGGATTGAACTCAGGGCATGGTACATGTTAGGCAAGTACTGGATTATTGAGCTGTATCTCTGCTTCTTCACTAGGGAAGCCATAACCCCCAGCCCCTCACTGAGGGATTCTAGGCAGAGGTTCTACAGCTGAGCCACACCCTGCTTTTCTCACTGGGGTATCCATTTAAGGCAGAGGCTCTGTGGCTAAACCTCAGCCTGTGATGGATGCTTCTCTAGTCACATTAGGCTCCTGGCATGTTGGCTAGTGTAAGGATCTGACCTCTCCCACCATTGTCCTCAGACAAAGGCCTTCATCCACCATGAGCTGCTGGCCTACCTATACTCATCAGCAGACCAGAGCAGCCTCATGGAAGAGTCAGCTGAGCAGGCTCAGCGGCGGGACGATATGCTGCGCATGTACCACGCTCTCAAGGAAGCACTCAACATCATTGGGGACATCAGTACCAGCACCGTATCCACGCCTGTGCCCCCACCTGTTGATGACACTTGGCTTCAGAACACCACTGGCCACAGGTCTGGAGGGCAGTTTGCCCCCCCCCACCCCACCCCCGTGTGCCCATCCAAGCTCCACCCATCCTGTTCCCTGAGCCCCGTCAGGAGATGGGCCCCAGCTGAAGAAAGGGCAGGGCCAAGAGTCTAAGTCTCAATGTCAAAACACACAGGTCTGAGACCTGTCGTGCCTAAAGCCACAAGGAGAGCCCTGGCTTCTAGGGCCAATCTGAGCCAGATCCTCAGAGTTAAGAACCACATATATCCTAATTCCCCACCAGCCCTTTTTATCTTCTAGTGCTTTCTCCATGGGTTAAAACCAAATATAAACCAAGAGCAAGAAGTCCAAGGCAGGGGTGGGGGGGGGGAGAAATGGCTCAGAGGTTAAGAGCACTGACTGCTCTTCCAGAGGTCCTGAGTTCAATTCCCAGCAACCACATGGTGGCTCACAACTATCTTTAATGAGATCTGGTGCTCTCTTCTGGCCTACAGGCATGCATACAGGCAGACTGCTATATACATAATAGATAAATGCATTCCCCCCCCCCAAAAAAAAAGAGAAGCCCAGTGTACAGCTACTACAGGGCTTGGCCTCCTAGACCATAGAGAAGCGTGCAGGGGAAGTTTTAGGAGGCAAACAGAGACCTCTAGCCCTAGGACTTCATTGGCCTCAAGATGGGAAGCATGAGCCAGAGACATCTAAGCAGTCACAGTCAAGGGAATGTCAGTGCAGTGAACCCTCTGAGATTTCAGGACACTGTGGAGCCTTCAGGAAGAGGACCAGAGCCCAGACCTGGGAAGATTCAGGTCTCTAGGTCCTGGGGAACAGGGCAGGCAGGTACTTCACATACAGAGGCAGAGGGCCACACATAAGTGTGGGGACCAGAGTTGAGCTGTAAGTGTCCCAAGTGCAGCAGTCTGCACATGTCTGCCCTGGGAGCTTTCCTGTCAGGGACACAGGAGCCCCAGTAATTGGGAATGGTGTGGCTCAGGCTGTGGTTCCCTTCCCGGTGTCTCTGCCCCCATCTCAGTACCTTACAGTGGGTGTCATAGTATCCTCCGGATTAAAGCCTCTCCCTCCTCCACAGCCCCACTCCACAGCGCCGACCTGTGTCCAGTGTGCACCCACCAGGCCGGCCTCCTGCAGTGAGGGGTCCCACACCAGGGCCTCCCCTGATTCCTGTGCCTGTGGGGCCTGCAGCCTCCTTCTCGGCGCCCCCAATCCCATCCCGGCCTGGACCACAAAGCGTGTTTGCCAACAATGACCCCTTCTCAGCACCGCCTCAGATACCATCTCGGCCAGCACGGATTCCCCCTGGCATCCCCCCAGGAGTGCCCAGGTAAGGACCACAGCCTACAGTGGGTGGGGGTCCCTTTATGGTGACTTTGACTCCCTCCCTTCTCATGACTTCCACTGTAGACCCAACAAGGCATAGAGTCGCACAGGCCTTCCTGCTTGTGTGCTAAGAAACTGAGCCCTTAGAGGGGCTGCCTCCAGGGATCAGGTGACCCCAGGCTTCTGGCTGTTCACTAAGCAGCCAGTTACATGTCACTGATGCCTGATGAGCTAGCTTCTGGTCTCCATTTCTGAGGTCCAAGGAGGGCAAGGAAGTGGGCAAGATGACACATCTGCTTGCCACCAAGCCTGGAGACCTGAGTTCAGTCCCCAGGACCCCTCTAGTGAAAGAGAACTTGCCTATTGTACCCAGGCAAGCGAATGACATGGGGATACCAGGAAAATACCTGGATGCCCCAACTCCGGGAGCACATTGGGGTGGGCTGGGCGGGCTGGGCTCTCACCCTCCCCCTGCTTCTGGCCTCACTACCCTCCACCTCCCTCCTCTTTACTCTCTTTGCAGCAGAAGAGCGCCCGCTGCGCCCAGCCGGCCCACCATTATCCGCCCAGCCGAGCCATCCCTGCTCGACTAGGCTGCAGGGGGGCCATGTTCTGGGGGGTCCTCGTGCACCCACAGTGCAGGAGAGTTTTGGTGGTCTGGGCCCCATTACTGCTCCCATGCTGGGACCAGGCTCCCTGTGGGCAACCTTTACCCTGTCCTCCCTAGCCTGGAGGACATGACAATGAGGGAGGTGGGGAGTCCCAGACAACACGACTTGGGGGCTTTGCACTTTGGGACAAGGGAAGATCTCTGGTTGGCAGTAGGAACTGCATCCTTGGGACCATCTGGAAAGAAAGATCCAGGCTGGTGTAGGGGAACTCTACCCCGGGGCTTCTCCACACAGACTGTAAGCCTTGTTCTTTCTTGGGGTACAGGAACTGTCCTACTTTTCCTAGGGTTCTTCAGGAGTGAGCCAGGCCCAGTATGCTCAGTGCTGGCCGCCCACCTGGCTTAAGTTGTATATATATATCTTCTTTGGCCATATTAACCACACAACCTGAGCCCAGCCCAGTCTCGACAGCCAGAGGTGCCTTTGTACCTTCCTCAGGCCTGGAGTCCCTTAGCTCTGGCCTGCTTGCCTCACTCTCCTCAGCCCAATGTGGTTTGTGCTGTGTGAGCTGAGGAGAACATCAGGGGTCTCTTGGCTCCCAGCCAGACGCCCCCACAGGATGGGCGCTAGTGCATCTGTGCAGATCCTGATCCCAATGCTTGGTTTGACCACTGTTAAGTGCCTGCCTCTGTATATCCTATTAATAAACTAAAATAAAGGGAAGCCCTGCTGGTGGTTACGTGTGTGGGCCTTTTGTGTCTGTCCTAGCCCAGAGGGAGACTGTCTACCCCATCATGGAGCTGTCCACACTTCACTCACCGACATGTCTTCTGCCATCTCTTCTGTACCCCTCTTTACCACATCAGGATTGGGGACAAATACCCTCTTGTCCCCATCACATAGTGCTCATGGGAAACGAATTCTAGCCACTACCCTGAATGGCACTGTGGCCAGACCCACCTCCAGGCCCCCACTAGCTCTATAGGGGACAGGATTCAACTTTGCTTTATAATTTTTTTCTTTTGTGCCAGGCGACCACCTCCATCGGCTCCTGCCCGACCTTTCTTCTGAGCTTCGTGGGAGTGCCCTCCCGCCTTCCTGGCTGCCCCTGGCTTGAGGCTAGGTCTGCCCCAAGTTGATGTCCCTGAGCCCAAGTCACCAGGCACTATTAATTTTTCTGACCATAATTTATTGACTCCAGTGCCTAGGACAGATGTCCCTTTGTTCCTTGAGGCTTGTAGGCAGGCTTTGGTGGGGTTGCACCTCAGCCTCTGAGGTCCTGCACCCAGAGAGGAGGAAGGGGTCCTCTCTTGGAGTTCTGTTACCAGATCTTCCCCCATACACACCAGCTGGCTCCCCTCTGGGTCAAGGGGCCAGGGCTCTTCCTATCAAATAAAAGTGGCTGTCCTGGCAAGAACTCTGCAGATGTGTCTCCTTCCCAGACCCTATCAAAGTAGGCTTATCCCCAGGAGCAAAGTAGAGACATTGAGGCTGGGATGTGTCCAGCTCGGGAAAGGGCAAGGAGCAGTTGTACTGCTTGACCCCATCCTGATGATGGAAGACTTAAGCTAAGGCACAATTCCAGGAGAAAATCAGGGCATCTGAGAGCCATATAGCCCCACACTACAGCACCCAACACTTCCAAGAAACAGGCACTGTTGCTGAGCCTCCCCTTCCAAAGGGTCTGCAATCTACTTGCACTCCCTGCTCACCCAGGAAAGGAGACACATGGGGCCACTGCTGAAGACCCAACTGTGCAGCTTCTGAGTCTGGGAGGTCTCCAGCAAGTCACACATGCCGGTCGCCCTCCGTTGCTTCATTCATCCTCTGTGGCTGGGGCTACGTGGGTACAGGGCGCTTGTCATGGAAGAAGCGCTTGAGTGTGCAGACCTGCAGGACGGCTACCAACAGCAACACAGCCACATTGGCAGCTGACCAGAAGTTGACCCGCTCCAGGTTGTCTTCTTGAAGGTTCCGATCACGTGCCTCAAAGGCTCGTAGCAGAGTCAGCATCTGGATGCTCCGTTCCAGCCGGGTCCTCATAGTCTCTATGGATTCCTGCCAGGGCACAGAGAGGAAGGAGTCAGGCTGCCTAAGTCACATCCGTGCCCAGGCCACTCACTGGCTGTGTGACCATCAGCAAGTTAATTTGCCTCTCTGGCTTGGTGTCTCAGATCCTCTCTTAGAAACCTAGAAACTCAGTATTCCCCCTCACCCCCTTCCCTTTTTTCTTGATGTTGTTTTTTGTTTGTTTTTAGGTAAGATATGTTGTTTTTTGTTTTGTTTTTTTCCTTAAGGGGCACAGGGTACACATGCTATGCATTCATGTGGAGGTCAGAAGACGGCCTTTAGGGATCAGTTCTCTCCTTCCACCATGCGGTTCTCAGTTAGTCAGACTTGGTGACAATTAATTGCCTTTGCCAGCTGAGCCTTTTCACCAGCTTTTGAGGTAGAATCTTATGTGTCAAATACTGGTCTTTATGTGCAATGACTTTAATTTGTAATCCTCCTGTATCAATATGAGACCCACACTGGTTTTACGTAGTGCTGGGTGTAGGAGCTCAGGGTATAGGAGCTTCATGTGTCCTAAGCAATTGCTCTACCAACTTAATTGTCCTCAGATCTTTCTTTTGGTTTCGTGAGATGGCATCTTGCTATGTAGCACGGTTGGTCTTGAACTCACTGGAATCCTGCCTCAGTCTCCTGAGTGCTGGGATCACAAGCATGTGCCACCACCCTCAACTCACCTTGATGTCTTCCATTTTGACATCAAGCATCTCTTCTGGCTCCACAGCTTCAGCCCAACCTTCTACCTCCTCCTCGTCTTGGAAACTGTCAAAGATGAGCTCAAAGAACACTAGTTTCTCTGAGATGGTGCTGAAGGAGTTGTCAAAGCAAAGCCTGTAGTCCCCGGCCTCAGTAGGCTCCACCCTGGGCAGACAGATGAGACACAGACGTGACCCTGGAGTGACCAGCCAGCTGGTCTGTGGAGCCAGCAGGATGGTAACCCGAGGCCACTGGGGAGCTGCAGGGCTGTAACTGAACCAAGACAGGGCAAGGCTTCACTCACGTGTGCACCCCATCAGCCTTTCGAGACTCACTGACCAACAGCACGCCCTGAGGGCTCTCCAAGGTGAAGTCCACATCCAGTCCAGCACCACCAATCACCTGAAGAGCAGGTAAGAGTTGGGAAACAGAACGGGCAGGTTTGTGCCAAGCCTATCTTCCACGGAAGGCCTGGGTTGCACCAAATTGGAAAAGACCCACATAAGACCACTCGGAACCCACATTTAAAAAGAAAAAAGAACAATCCATGTATTTGTTTGGAGTAGGGGAGTTAGCACCTGTGGAGATCAAAGGACAACTTGTCGGAGTCAGTTCTCTACTTCTACCCTATAGTTCTGAACCTCAGGGCATCGGGTTTAGCTGCGAGCTCCTTTGCCCACTGAGCCATCTGGCTGCTCCCAAGGGCGTATCTGAGCACCAGCATCCTGCAAAGTCCCTTTTTGGTCCCTAAGATGCCTCCAAGTGAGGTCTTTCATCTGGCCACCACGCCACGCCCCTGAGCAGTCCGAGGTGGGCATCTACCTGGCTGGGAGCTTGCTGTGGTCACCCACCCGCTAGCTGCCAGGGCCCTTGCTCAAACCCCAACTCAGAGATCTTCCAGCAGAGACGCCTTTGCACGACTATAGGCATTCCGGCCACGCCCCCTCCCGCCCCTCAGGCCTGCTGGCCACGCCCCTCCCGGGTCCAACCCCGAATCCCGAGCCCGGGACCCTCTCACCTGGTACTCGGTCTCCAAACTAGCGTTGGCCGGCGCGGACTGATAAAAACACTGCTTCCTCCCAGCGGGAAGCAGAAATGTAAACTCGCCGTCCTGAATGGGCGGCGGCCCCGCCTCTCCCACTCGTACTGCTGGCACAAGTAGCCACAGGGCCAGGGCTACGGCCGCGACGGCCGCCATTATCCGGGTCACGCTCGACTCTGCTCACGGGCGCGGGTCCTTTAAGAACTAGTCCCGCCCCCCTCTCTTTTACGCGGCGGAGTTCATTGGCTGGAGCTTCTGTTCTGCCCCCAATCCGCGGAATGCTGTGTGAAGGGCCCCAAAGAGGAGAGCTGCCCGGGTGAATGCCTACTCTGCTAAAATAAACACTAACGCTGATGTGAATTCTGTGAAACCGCTCCATCCGTTATTGACCACTGGAGTTGGGGGGGCGGATGACGGGCCTGAAATGATGAGGCGCTTCTTTACAGGCAAAAATTAAGATAACTAAACGGGGAGGTCTGAGGGTCCTCTTGTGGCACCGCCTGCTGTCCTCGTCCCTCCCCATCCCAGGCGCTTGTCTCCGGTTCTGATGTTGGTCTGGTGTAAGCCGAGCGGGTCAGGGGCGGCAGGACGATGCATCAAAGCTCTGCGATCCATAGGCCCGGTGTTGGTGGCCCTCCGATATTGGGTTCTGGAGATGCTAGTTCAAAAAGCATGGCCTCCCAGACTCAACGCTAGCCCTGCTTTCCCCTTATACCGTCGTTTATATTTATTTAAAGACTTATTTATTTATTATGTATACGGTGTTCTGCATGCATGCATGCACACCAGAAGAGGGCACCAGATCTCATCATAGATGGTTGTGAGCCACCATGTGAACCGACCTCAGGACCTCTGGAAGAGCAGCCAGTGCTCTTAACCTCTGAGCCATCTCTCCAGCCCTACACCATCATTTATAAGGGTTTTGGTCTCTTACTTTGGGGATGAGGGAATGCTTGTTAGGTGGTGAATAGAACATGCCCTCACTCTACATCCAATTGGTCTCAAAACTTTGGGCCAACAGGTCCTAGTGCATCTGTGCTGACAGAAGCCAAGATTCAGCGCTTGGAGAGCTGAGGGTGGAGTTGTGAAGAGTTCGAATTCGAGGCCGTTCTCAGCTACATAGTTCCACCCTATCATGGACTGAAGAGTGAGACCCAGTTTTCAAAAATGAGGACTATGTTTGGCCTCAAGATGGCCCAGAGTATAAATGCTCTCACTGCCAAACCTGATGACCTGAGTTCAATCCCTAGGATTCACATGGTAGACGAACAGAATTGACTCCCACAAGGTGTCCTCCGACCTCCATGCACACACAACACTGCTGTTTTTGTCCCCTTGACACAAACTAATCTGGCAAAAAGGGATCCTCACGTGAGGAATTGCCTTGTGGGTATTTTCTTCATTGCTAACTGATGCAGGAAGTCCACCCCACTATAGGAAGTACCATCCCTAGGCAGGTGGGTCTGGGCTGAATAAGAGAGGTCTCAGCAGTTAAGAGAACTGGCCACTCTTCCAGTACCTATATGGCAGCTCAAAAGGTTCCCAAACTCTGAACCGAAATGAAGAGACCCTATCCAATGCAAAAGCAAAGAGTCTTTAATTTTTACAAGTTAACTCAGGTTCCTCAGTCCATCTGACACAGCAGGTCAAGCAGGCTGAGACCAGGTGGGGAACCCTGGGCCGCAGGCAGCAGGGAATTTATTGGGCAAGGGGAGTGTCTGGGATTCACAACAGCCTCAGGATTGATGCAGTTCTAGGCTTGGGCAGCCTGTCCTATGCTGATTGGTCAACTGCAGCTGCAGGAAGGTTGCTATGCCTGGAGGCTCTCCCAGGACAGTTGCTATGCTCTGCATTCCACTGTTATCAGTAAAGCACATCCAGCTAACTTCTGATTGGTTCCTCGCCACATGGAGGGCAAGGTGGGGCAATGT